TGGGGGGCAAATGTTTGGCAACAAGAGCCTTGAGGGACACTATGGCTCGAATACGGGCTCTCTCCTCAGGACTACGGTTTCGCTTTGCCCAAAGTGCCCCCGTCCCTTGCCCTGGAAGGGAGCTTGGCTGAGCAACTGCTCGGAGGGCCTCAACACACATGCCTTGGACCTTACGTCGTTCTGCCATGGCATCCTGCATGTACAGCAAGTCGACCCTACACGTGTTGGAACGCACCGAGCTGCAATGCATGGCCTGCAGGAGAGGGCCACACTCAGCTCTCGTGAACCAGTCTCTCACTTCTTGTTCGATGTCCTCGCGTTTCGCATCCTTCCAACCGCCTAAAACAACCTGCCAATCATCATGCGCGGGATTCCCACGAGCCCCACGAGGTGAATGCGTCGGAGTGTATGCTGAGGTGACACTAGGAGACCTAGAGCGAAAATCCCTCATCTCCTGTTCCATAGCCGCCAAACGGAGCTCAAGAGCCGCAGTTCGTTCTAAGTGCGAATCCTGCCTCGACTCCAAAGACTGCACCTTATCTGCTACTCCCTGAATGGAATCTCTAGTGACCTGGATGGCCTGCATCTGCTCGTGTTGTCCTCGATGAAGCCGGTCGATGCCCGCCTGAAGTGAGGCTGCCCACGGCGGGGGGACATCATCACCAATGTCGTACTCCTGTGGCAGCGGGCGTTTGTTCTTGTCGGGGGGGACAGGCCCCCCCCCAAAAAGGGGAGGGGGTTGCAGCCCCACTGGCGGTCCTTTGGCGGCAGCGGGATCGAGGGTCGGAGGTCGTGCTTTCTTTTCGGGGCTTGTTTTAGGCGAGGACTTGGGGGCTCGGGTGGCTTGGTGTTTAGCAAGGAGATTAGCGGCCACCGCTGCTGCTTCAGCCTGCTTGGCTTCAGTTTCCGCCAGCCCCACCCCTCTCCCCGGTCCAGGATCACACGGCCCACCCACGGCATCCCCCAAGGCGGCCCGGAGCGCATCCTGGGCCGCTTCTTGCATAACCATGTCGGGCTGCTCGGCCCCCAGAAGAGCCCCTGAGCTAATTGGCGTCCCAGCGTCATCCAACCCCCCCCCCCCCCCTCCAGTTGTTCGGAACGGTGCAGGTGGGGCAACAGGAGCGTACTTTCGTCCGACCCCGCCATCCCGACGAACGACGACACGACGAGAGGGACTGGTGGAGTAATGCACCCGGGAGGCCTCAGAACAGGACTACGAGGAGGAGGAGAGCTCAAGCCTGCCCGACGCGGCCCGGAAGGCGCGACCGCGCTCCAGGGGCACACACGCCAGCTGACGGCGGACTTGAGCCAAAATGGCTTGAGCCAAAACCGGGGCTTTGAGGGTTTAGGGTTCAGGGGTTTAAGGGTTTCGACGCTCACACTCGCACAAGGCAGGCAAGGCTCCACATAGGTTTAGGGGTTTAGGGTTTAGGGTTTAAGGCTTAGGGTTTGAGGCTTAGGGTTTAGGGTTTCGACGCAGGGGTTTAGGGGTTTAGGGTTTAGGAGGGTTTAGGACGTCTAAATAGGACTTCGGGTAACCCTAAGGGTCCATGTACCCAAATAGTATATACTTTGGGCCCAATGTACCTATATAGGGAGTACCCCTCCATCAAGATAGCTAAAGTATCTGTATCGTTTGAAAGCTTGAACAAAGATACGATGGCAAAGTGGCTACGGTTCGCGACTTTCCTCCTTGAAACTGGGCTCCAAGCCTGTCGATCATCACGACGCTGTCGCCCTTCGGCATCCTGTTCGGCGCCACGACATTCAAGTCTGCTGCTGCATGCTGCTGCACTTTAAAACCAATCCCAGCCGCCTGCCGACCTAAAAACCCCAGAAATCCAAACACGACTGCTTTGCGGAGAGGTCGTAGTCCGAAGTGGCGACTCCCCCACGCCATCCCGGTTGGAGAAACTCTGCCTGCGGGGCCTGCAGTAGCTTTAGTTACTTCCACCGTTTGTCTAGGCTCCAAGCCTGCTGATCACCACCATGTTGCCCTTCGTCGTGGGCATCCTGCTCGGCGACACAGCATGCAAGTCTTCTACTGCACTTTGAGACGAACCCCAGCCGAGCCTTATGCCAAAAATTCCAACTACTTTCTAGACCGGGGGCGATGTAGGTTTCGGTCCAGGTCGCTGTCACGTGTGAACAAAGCACAAACAAGCACTCCACGCAACTACGAGCTAACATAACAGTCCTCCTCTGACACGTGATGGACCTTTATCCAGCCGGCATCTTCGGGATCTTCGTCATCTTCGGTGTCACTGCCAGCGCTGTCTTTTCCAGTGTCCGTGCTTGCTGCGTCCGACCTCGGCACAGTGCAGTGGGTGCACTGCTTGCAGGCACACGCCAAGCTAAAAACAGATTGCTGCCCAAGAACCCCTCTGCCGGGCAAGGATGCTGCCGCAAGAGCGCCGCAAGAGTCAGAGGCCCGCCCTTGGCTTCCAGAGGCTCCTGCGATCATGCAAACCGTCTCAGACGACGTTTTTGAAAACGAGTCGGTCATGCTGCGTAGTTCCACGTTGCATGATGATCCAAGGGCTAGGCTGAAACTTTCTGAGCACTGACGTCATCTGCGAAAACCCATGCTTCCCAGAGTCTTGAGGATAAGTGCTCAGGAGAAGGGCCTTAATTTCGCCCTACCGTCCTCGGCAGCATATGTTTGCGGCACCTGGGCTTGTGCTACTTGACCAGCAAGTCAGGGCAGCGGGCTCACAAAGGCGATCGCTTGCAGCTTCTTGCAGCCTGCAGACTCAGACTCCGAGAGCTTTTCCACAAGCTTCGAGATCCGGGTCAAGTCCGCATCGTGCTGCCAGAGGCAGTGACGAATCCTGCGTTATCCGGCAAGCACAGATCGTGGAGCCTCCCTCATCTCCTCCCTCACTTGCTCGCCCGCATGCTGGCTCAATGATCTTCAGGCCCTGGCTGCTGTTGCAGACGGAGGATCAAGTTCTGCTGCCTGCTCTGGCGACATCTGTTGATTTGATGTGCTGCTTCAGAGGTTCCTCTAGGCTCAGGGCTTGGGGTGACTTTCGGTTGAATCCGTGTCCGGACACAGCTCGCATGCTTAAAATACAACATCTGCTCACGCAACGATTGAACCTGGCTTCGATGTCTCGGCTCCCGGCAGACAAAGCTGATGATTGCCCTGCGCCAGCTGATAGTGGACAGCATTCAGCCTCGGACCACTGCTGCAATAGCTACTTCTCTGAGCAGTTCAAGTCAGCCGCAACAACGAAAATTCATACGAGTACTGAAGCAAGGCTGAAGCATTTCTGGGACTTCGTCGATTAGCACTGTGGAAGGCTTCCACACGATGTTTGTCTTGCTGCAAGCGGCTGGTTCCAGAGCAGGGCAACTTGGACATCCTGCTGCTTGATCTGGCGACATCTGTTGAGATCGATAGGCTGCTTCAAGGGTTTCATCTAGGCTCATAGCCGGACACAGCTCACATGCTTACAATACAACAACTGCTCACGCCACGATTGAACCTGGCTTCCATGTCTCGGCTCCCGGCAGACGTAGCTGCTGATTGCTCTGCGCCAGCTGGCAGTGGACAGCATTCAGCCTCGGATCACTGCTGCAATATCAACTTTTGAAGCATTTCAAGTCAGCTGCAACAACGAAAATTCATACGAGTACTGAAGCAAGGCTGAAGCATTTCTGGGACTTCGTCGATTAGCACTGTGGAAGGCTTCCACACGATGTTTGTCTTGCTGCAAGCGGCTGGTTCCAGAGCAGGGCAACTTGGACATCCTGCTGCTTGATCTGGCGACATCTGTTGAGATCGATAGGCTGCTTCAGGGGTTTCCTCTAGGCTCAGAGCCGGACACAGCTCACATGCTTACAATACAACAACTGCTCACGCCACGATTGAACCTGGCTTCCATGTCTCGGCTCCCGGCAGACGTAGCTGCTGATTGCTCTGCGCCAGCTGGCAGTGGACAGCATTCAGCCTCGGATCACTGCTGCAATATCAACTTTTGAAGCATTTCAAGTCAGCTGCAACAACGAAAATTCATACGAGTACTGAAGCAAGGCTGAAGCATGTCTGGGACTTCGTCGATTAGCACTGTGGAAGGCTTCCACACGATGTTTGTCTTGCTGCAAGCGGCTGGTTCCAGAGCAGGGCAACTTGGACATCCTGCTGCTTGATCTGGCGACATCTGTTGAGATCGATAGGCTGCTTCAGGGGTTTCATCTAGGCTCATAGCCGGACACAGCTCACATGCTTACAATACAACAACTGCTCACGCCACGATTGAACCTGGCTTCCATGTCTCGGCTCCCGGCAGACGAAGCTGCTGATTGCTCTGCGCCAGCTGGCAGTGGACAGCATTCAGCCTCGGATCACTGCTGCAATATCAACTTTTGAAGCATTTCAAGTCAGCTGCAACAACGAAAATTCATACGAGTACTGAAGCAAGGCTGAAGCATTTCTGGGACTTCGTCGATTAGCACTCTGTGGAAGGCTTCCACACGATGTTTGTCTTGCTGCAAGCGGCTGGTTCCAGAGCAGGGCAACTTGGACATCCTGCTGCGGATACCACACGGGGCCCTGGCAGGACGGGAGGTGGTGGGATTGCCCAAGATCCGCACTGCTCTAAACTCAAGATTTGGGATGTACTCGCACAAACGGCTGCGAGCTGCAGCAGCCCATGCACCGATGGAAAGTCCACGCCTCGCTGGGCCCTTGTTGGTTACCCACCATGGCTCGGTAACACGAGCAGATTTCTCAATGTCTTGTGTCTGCCTTCTAGAACCCACTACTGCAATCTACCGCGGTTGGAAGAACTGCTGCTGAAGGAGCAACTTTCATCTCGATGAACTGCAAATTCGATCGCTCAGAAGATGTGCAAGGCTGAGCCAAAGCTGTCAAAGAACCAGCCGATGATGTGACTGTGACCTTCGGACCTCGGAGGCGCTTGCAGCCGCTTCAAACAACAATCATCACTCCACAATTGAAGCTGCGACTGAGATCCTTTTTCCGGCTGCTGGTCAGCCCGCACTGCGTAGCAGGGCGTGCTCTCGAAGGTCTGGCCGTCACCGTCGACAGTGGCCCTCACCTGCAGATAATACAGACATGTACAGGCATACCTAGCAAATGCTTCGGGTGGCCTAGGAGGCGTGGCCTGGAAGCCGCATCTTCAAAGGCTGGTGGTGTTTTTAGCAAACCGTGGTGGGTAGCTGTGCCAAGCTGCCGAATGATGCAGACTGCTAAGAACCCCTGATGTGCTAGTCTAAACAATAGAATAGAAGTGACGGGGTTGATCGCGACATTGACAGTTGTATGATCAGGGAGATGTGTTTGCGAAAGAATCACACACGTCAAGCATGGTGCACATGTTATATCATCAGCGACAGTACTTTCGAACAATACCGACAAAGGAGTAATTCAAAAAGCACAGCAGACTCGGGGTTTGAATTTCCGAGTTGCCAGTAGCAGAACGATAGGCCCGGGAGACACAATGCTCTGCTCAATCCGATCACAATACCCTTCAGCAGCTTTTGCTTTCCCCCCGCCTCGCCTGTGAGACGGGTTTCACAACTTTTGAGATGCTATCCTATGCTGTTTGCACCCTAAAACCCCCAGAGCCGAACCCAACCCCAATCCAACCCCAACCCAAAGACTTTAAACACCCCACAACCCTGACACTTTGAACGGCCACTCCAAGACCCTGAATCCCCGAACTCAAAACACCACGTCCAAGGGTCTCCTCTAGTCTGGTTGACTTAAAAGAGGCTGTGGTTAGCTAGTGACAGGTGCTCCCTCTTGATGTATTTGTTGCTTCCGCGCCCTTCCGCGGAGCAACCCGTTGAAAGCTAGAGCTTTGCGTGACAGTGACCTGCCAGTCATGATGCCAGGTTCAGTCGGTTCAGCCCACTGCCGTGAGCCATGTACACGGCAGGTTTTGTTTGGCTCAAAAAACACAGTATAACACAGTCGATAGAGCTGGCGTCCAAAGGAAGTTTTGCGTAACCTTGCGGCCTGTAGCTCTAGGAATCCTGGACAGCAAGGAGGATGTCTTCTGGGTTTTCGATGAGACCTCGTTCAGCTGGTTCCGGCGAAGGCTTGAAATAAGGAAAACGCAAAAAACCATCGGCAAAGGCCGGCGCAAGGGAGAAGGCAAGGGAAAAGGAAACAAGGAGGCCGTCACACATGTCCCGCTGTGCTGGGTCGGAGAGGGATTCCCCGGTATCATTCAGAGGCTTGGGATATACAGCGTTGGAGAAAAGCAGCGTCTGACGCCAGCGCTTTCCGCCGAATGAGGCTGGAGCCACTTGGCCCCACGCTCCCTTGAAATTGGTGACGATCTCACGTGTCGAGGTGTTTACAATACTTTTGAGCTGCTTCTGGGGAAAACCCTGTGACCCGCAAGGTAGCACATCTGCCCCGTCAGCAAGACCAGCAGAGGGACGTTGTATCTGACGTTGTCAAATTCATGACTCCAGTCTCGTGGCGAGATAAGGATGTGAACCCCGATCTGCCGATGCCCCGTTGCATTGCACATGGAAGCTCCTTCGCTAATTGGTTATCATCTGCTTCGTGAACCTGCAGCTATTTTTCACACAGGCTGTCAGGCTGGGGTGTCGTCCGCAGGAGAACAACGGGCACCTAAAAGGCAAAGTCAGTTGCCTCAGACAGCGGCCGGGATCTAGAGGTCGGAGGAATATTTCAGTCAGATTCAGTACGTATGAGTTGGCAGGGAAACTTTTTTCCCTCCTACTTAGCCAGGACGAGCCCGCATTGCAGGGTAACTTCGAAGGAACAGTTGAAAAAGCTGTGCTTTCGAGCAGCTAATTACACTCCTTACCATGGCAACTTGTTGGCCACAAGTACGAAGGGCTGGACTCATTTCGAGTTGTTCGTAAGCTGCGTTGGCCGCTCTTAGATCCACGCATCTTAAACGAGCAGTTCTTTGAAAGGTTTCGACTTCATGCTATACACAATCCCCATCTCAGGGAGACTTAGACTTTGGCCCTTAACCAGAATTTCGCCTTGCGATACGAAGGAATTGATTTCAGGAGTAGGATATTCGCCAAATCGGCTAAAAACTCTTCTCGAAATGATACATGAAGTCGACAACTTCGTTAGCCTTTGGACCAGATGGAAACTGAGTCGAGCAAGCACGGTGGGGGCACGAGGGAAACCGACCTTCCAAGCCATTCAGCTGCTTCTTTGCGTCGTGGAACTGGAATCATCCAGCCGGGTGCTTATATGTGTTTTTGCTGGCCAGGGCATCGAATAACCAGCGAAGGCAAGCTCTTGCCGATGAGCAAAACGTACACATTCGAAGATTCAGCGGCTGAGAGTCGTCCCCGCGGCGACTCTCGTGGCAACAGTTCAGCTCGGTAAGGGAATACAAGACGTGCACGACAGCTTCTTGAGACGCACCCTCTTGTTAGCTTAGTAAATATGCAACAGCACCATGCCGCGCCGGCCAACCAACGACCGACCCAGGACCAGGGTTCTGGATCGGCTTTGATCGACCCTTTTGGACCGGTATTTTGGCATGGTCGGAGTACAGGGGTGGATTGACGATTGACAATATGCCGCCATGTGGGTGGCAATGGTGGCATTTGTGAGTATGCGCGATACGGACAGTGCGAATGTTCGCGGGGCGCGCAGTCACGGTTCACTCGCAGTAGATTTGCCTGTGGCCCAGTAGCCGCAGGTCCAAGCAGGGCAGCCCATGTCAAAAATCAGCAGCAGCAGCAGCTGTAACGTAGCTTAACCGAGAGAGCAACACAAAAAGTCGGAGTCCCGAAATTAACCTGCTACCACGCTCCATCGCATTGGCTGGCAATTGCATTGGGTCGACCCTGCTGGAAAGGGAACTTGTAACTGGCAAAAGGCCAATTCCTTAACTTAGTGGCTTGAACTGACAAAAAAACCAACGTTACCTAAGGTTCGAGATGTTGATGGCCCAAACCCACCATGCAGCGCCAAAGCCCGACTCCATCCGCTAGGCTAGGCTGCAGACTGCATCGCGACAAAATGCGACTTAGAAGCCCTGCGTAGATGATCGTGGCGAAGCCGCTCCAATCGGGTTGCCCTGGAGCGGTCACAAAAGAGAAAGGCTTCACAGGGCTTTCTGCTTCTTGGTCCATAACTCGACATGCCTGCGCTGGCACAGCAAGCCAAAAACAGGAGTGCTTGAGTCTATGCTCGATCGGTGTCGAGCATCTTCGCACAACTGGTACCAGTAAGACACAAGAACGGACACAAAATCCACACCTGAGGCGAAGGTCAGGATTCCAGTGATGTCCTCGGCTCAAAGGACCAACATTCCAGGCGGTGTATGTGCAAAGCGCATGTGTGGCTTCGATCTCCAGCCTTGTGCGCTGGCCACTTTTCGCACTGAAGACTACCACGATGCTGCTTCGAGGGTGTGAATGCGTGCGCTCGTCCTCAATATGGCACAAGCTATGTTCAGTCCTCGCCGCTGCACGTGCAGTCAAGTCCGACCCCGCAGGAAATCAGCTCTGTGCCAGTAAATAAACATGTCGTGGCCCGAGTGCTGCCTCTAGTACAGCCAAGCAAAAATGGCTTGCTGCTCTGGTAGTAATCTGCCAACATCACCGAGTAAGCTTTGATATTCCTCGCTATTTCAGTGCATCGAGTACCTATGCGGAACAATGAAGCTTGTGCAGCCAGGCGGCGCAAGGTATCCAAGGCCTGCAAGAGAAACCTGGGCGTCATGCGAGAAACAAACGCTACAATCAGGACTCAGGGCACAAGCCAAAAAAGACTCATACTATTTATGGATGCGTGCGGAGTCATGTGTAGGTCTACAGACGTTTTGACAGCCTGCAGGATGCCGCAGCAGCCTTTGCGAAACTAGCGAGGTAGTATAAGCTTCAAGTGGGGTTCCAAAGGTCCGTTAAAGGTTTCGACAGTTTGTGAAGCTGCTAAGGGCTTGCAGATAGGTCTGCCTTTCGGGCTCCGCTCATGAGGTCCCTCATGCTGAGCTGCACGAAAACAGCGAGCTTCTCCGGGTTCGATGGTCGACAGTCGACTAATTTTCATGTCGTCCTGGAGGACCCTGCGAGATGTCACTGGAACGTTCTTTAGCGGCCTTTCACTTCTTGGGGTCTATGCTGGCATAGCCTAGCTCTTTGAACCTACAGTCCACAGCCTACCAGCTATTGGTTGCGGTGTTGCAAACGAGACAAAACTCAAAGACACCCATGCGCTGAGATTATTCGACCCGACAGCAACATGGAGTTCATTTCACGCATTTCAAGGCACCAGGCATTTCATGTCACCTCCCGCGTATTAGACGAGCAGCTCCGTATCACTCGGCGTCTGTCCTGCGCAGCTGTCTATTGACTATTGCCACGTGCATCATCGGGCGGCACATTCCCATGATGTACAACGCTACTGCATGACTTGAGATGTCTTGGAAAAGGGTTTTCAATTTCCTCGAGGAGATGCCAAGTTCTGTTGCTTTCGCATCGATGGCTGGAGTCCAGTCGCTTTCTCTGACTGAGGCTCAATCGTCGCGAGACTGCTGTAGGTGCATGCATGGCTGTGGCAGGCCTGCTCGTCCGACAAGCAGGCTATAGCCTCGGCCTGAGTTGCAGATCTTTGATCTTTTCCTACACTCGCTTCCTTTTTCGACCTGCCCGGGCATAGGGCCTCAAGGACAACACCCGTTTACCGTTTGGACCTGGCGAGTACAAACACTAACCAAGCTTTTTATTTCCCCACGTGCCCGTGGCCAAACATGGACAATTTCGTGTCAAGGTACAGCTGGACACAGAGTTGCATGGACAAATTGAAGCCGTGTTCCTTCCTGAGTTTTTGCACTCAACACTGGAAGGTCGGTGGCCTTGCTGTGTCGCGGAAGAATCGGAATGGACAAGTATACTATAATTTCTATTATTACTATTACTATTATTGCTATTATAAGGACAACAAAGGCAAATCTTGCGCGAGGTACCAGCGATGTCACGAAGGGGCCTTGGTACTTCCAGCATCCTTTTGGGGGATGGGGGAGGGTCATTCCTGCACCGTGCTTAACTACATAGGGAAGCGCGAAGTACAGAAAGTAATAGAAAGTCTGGTGGCCAATGGCCGTGACAGGCGTCCACAAGAAAGCCAGCCACAAGAAAGCCACGAAATGCTACCAGCAGCAAGACTGCCCTCTGACAATTTGTAACCTCCCGTCTTGTAGTCGTGCCCATGCAGCATATTTCAGAGCAAACCGTGTGTCCTAGCCTCCTTCGTGGATGCACTCACACACGATAAACACGCACTTGCCACTTGCCAAGTGCTCGATCGCGCCGATTTCGACAGGAGCCCTTTCTTTGCCGTGCGCACAACAAAGCTCATGCTTCGCTACGCGACAGTGGGCATGTCACTGTCGTAAGCCGAGCCGCGCTACAGCGATAATTCTGACATTGTTCCACAGTTGTGCCGTGTGCCCCCGGCCTGCTAGTCGCAGCAACAGCGGCGAAATGTGATGTGCACAACCACCTGCACACCACAAATAGCATGTAAATGTAAAGATTTAGTTTTTCAAAGGCTCTCCGTGATTCGGGCTGTCGCTACAACCCCTGTCTTTCTGGACATACTTTTTATGTTCATACGTGGGCGAGCATGTCCTGGCCTCAAGGACCCCTGCATACCCCTACAATCTCTACGCAAGTTTCAATGTCGAGAAACATTCATGGAAAACAGCATTGAACAAGTACCTGCCAAGAAACTCATATCATCGTCACCATGCCCACCACCCGGCAGCACAATCAACGGCAGCAAAACTTCATCGGATCTTGAGCGGCATTTGCACTTCAATGCATCGTGCGCAATTAAAAGCCTACACTTGGCACCGGCTGTGCTGCTCAACTTGATATGATTAGCCGGACTACTTGGAGAACATCCCAGATTCGATACCTCGACTAGTTCGGAGTGCTCGGGTGGTTGGGGCTGGGGCTCCCTGGCACGGGGGCTGCAGGAAGCCTCGCTCTACTGAAGCCAAGGCCGTCAAGTAGTTCGCGAGGTCCAAGGGCACCTCATATCCGAGCCCCCATTCCCGATTCCCAAAAACGGTCAGGCCCCGCCCCGTGCGTCAGCGACGTTGTGAGAGCCTCTGCCGCTATCGAGGCTAGAATGAACATAGGATCAACGGCAATATCCCTTTCCGACAGGATCAGCAAAGACGAGGCACCTCAGAGGATGCTTCCTCCAGGAGCCGGAGCACCTGAGGTCTTTTCGTCTTCGCTTCTATTCCGTGCTTGCCAAGTCCGTGGCGGCAGCCACCTGGAAGCCCTGGGTTCATATATACACTACTGTAGTCACTAGTCGCAGGGGAATGAAGCGATAAGTGGAAGTGTCCTTCGGAAGTTCAGTAAGCATCGAAGGTGTAAGGGATTGTCTTTCACAATGGCAAGTGCCGTCAGACTCTATATTGAAATAGCAACGGCCGTGGCATCGGAATCCTTCAACCCCGAACCGTTTGCCTTCCCCTGGCGCCTTCGTCCATTGGCCGGTGTTGGAGCATGCCTTGTTTATGAGATCCGCTGTGGAGGGAGAACGGGTTCCAGGAAGCTCGACTTCTTGGTTTACATGACCCTGGATGGCTATCCTGCACTGCTTTCTTTTTGAGAAAAACTGTGCAGAACGGGCGATGCAGCAGAACGGCAACGCTTCTGAAGAGCTAGACACTGATTGGCGCAAGTATTGGCCTGAATCGCAGGTCCCGTTGAATCAAACCTTGCCGCCTTACATTTCAGCAATGTGCTTGGTCAATACTTCTTGCTTATGCAGTGATTTGTGTCGTGCAGGCCAATCCATATGCTTGAAACTCACGGCTTATGTCAATATGTGTGCAATGTACGACAGCCGCTGATCTTCGCAGGTTGTCGTTCGCAAACGCCAGGACATCGGGACAATTCGTAACTTGGTTGGCTATCCTTCAATAGCCCGCCGCACCAAAATCCATGATAGTAGTGATGCAAATCTGGAGTTCTTCGTTTTCCGCAGCAGAAAGAAAAATCTGAGCCAATCTTGCGAGCAAGTTGCAGTCTGTGCCGAATGCCAAACCTGTCGTCATCGGCTTAAGCTCGGTGATTCCCCCTTCTTTGGAGCTGTTTCCTCACGGCATTTCTGTGTCTGAAACTTGCAATAATGTCAAAGGTAGTCCCCGTAAGGCTTTTTCGCTATGTTATCCGTTATCCATCATAATCCTAATCCTGAGACTGCAGACATGTTCCGTAGCATGGAACATCATGAAATAAAGCCGAAGAAGCTCATGCGAGGCACCTGCATCGTTCTGGCTAGGCTTCGGCGATGCATCCTGGCAATGAGGCTGACACAGAGACAAATGTGACTCAATTAGTTCCAACATGCCACTTGAAAGCACTCCATCCCTCTACCGCAACGAATTGGGGCACAGGGTTGTAAAATTGAGGGCCTACTGACAACTTGAACCCCGTAAAACAGTACAGGCCGGTGTGGCAAGTCCAGGAGGTCCAAGGCGGACCTCGTCTACGGCGCTGAACCGCTGGTCAGAAGTGAAAGACAGTCTTAGTTTCTCAACAAGCTCCGACTCCCAGCTGGAGTGCTGCACTTGGGACCTGTCGTGACCTGTCCCTCCCAAACTTTCTATGAGTAGCCCTCAGGTGCTGGCCTCCAAAGTGCACCAGCGGCCATCGCAGCACATGCGGCCCCTTGCAGGAACGCATAAGCACATGCACGCAAGCGGCAACCAATGGATGCGGGCAGCGACCCTTTATCCCATCCGTCCAGGATGTCAGAACTTGAAAGTCGTTGACAGCTGCGCTATGCTTTTTGGCTCTGTGGCGGGCATCGCCATACCAACTCCAAATAGCCTGAACCTCACGAGTGGTCTCGTCTACTTGTCATTGGGCTTTCGAGCGCTTCCACGTATAGGCCAGAGGACCATAGGCGGCTGGCGATGCTCCACCATCCTGCTGCAGGCAACGCTGGCACGAATTGATAATCAAAGCAGGGCTATTCTTACGACTTTAGCTTCCGTGTTGACATCAGTTGGCATTTCAAGCTGGTGAGTCTTTACTGCGGCAAACTGTGGCTCTCAGATTCAACATTTTCCCGGTAGGTCCTGCTCCTTGTCGGCCTCCTCAAAAAGAGCGAGTGCCTGCATTTCGATGGAGCAGCCGTGAAATGCTTTTAAAGGTGTGCTGGCAGATTGTGCAGGAGTGAAACTCCTCAGCGCACCAAAAGCATCCACACAAGAGGCTCCGGACTAGGCCCAAGTGGGTAGATGTGGTCTGTTGTGTTTGTGAGGCACGAAGAAGCTCGTGGACTTCAGACCGTTGCGTGCGATGCTGCTGGGCAAAATCTTTGCTTCTTGTGTTTGAAACCCGTCTAGCATTACCCTTTACTTTAGTTGATTATGGAGCTGGAAACAAGCAGGATCCAAACTTTGCAGGACCTCCTACACTACGGACCGGAAGCAGACCCCGCAACGCAGCTGGCCCTCCAGCATCCACGTCAACCGTCAACCAAACCAAAATCACGAAGCTGGCTATTCATCGTTCACGTCCCCAAGCTCCTTTGCATACCGGGCATACCGCATTGAGGCCCGGACCTCCTGCCAGCGGCTACCCGTGGCCAGGGCGTTCAGCAAGGCGTTTGTCGTGAGTGTGTTGGCCACCAGGCTGTCCGACAGTGGGGTTGATTTCACCAGTTGGGAGAGCTAGGACCAGCTAGGATCCACCAGGAACAAATCCAAAGCTCAAACTTGCCAGGCTGTGCAAGACTTCAGAAGGATCTTTTTCCCTCCTACCTAGCAAGGACGAAGCCCGCATTGCAGGGTGTCTTGGTTGAACAGATGAAAACAGCTAACTTCAAAGGGACCTAGAACTAAGGCTTTGGCATGCGGCACGATATGCTATCACTGAACATGCAGACCCTTCGTCGACGTGCCCGTGTATTCTGAGCTCCTTCCAAGGAACACCTGAATCCGCAACGACTCCGGAAGGCCCAAAGCCATCTGCCTCTGTGAGGGCATGCTTTGCAAGAGAACTGCTGCCCGATGCCACTGCCGCCTCAGATGTCAACTTCGTGGCCATCGTACAGCCTGTGCTTGATTCTGGGCTGGAAGTGCGGAAAGGGCTGTCTGGTTTGTACCACCCAGGATGTACGGCTGGGCCCCAGCTGGGTTCACGACGCCTTTGCGCATGCATCGATGCACCTGGAGGAACGGAGCACACAGATTGTGCAGTGGCTTCGTGATTTCCAGTGCTTGGTGATCGGGGGGTGTGGAACCTCGAACACATCCATCTGAGCCTTCCAACAGCAACAGACTCTTTCCCAAACCGTGGGATACAAAACGGATCAAAACAGGGTGCTGAAATTCAGGAATCACTACAGCCCCGCACGTGGCTGAACGATAACAGCGTCTGCCTCCATGCCACACCGTTCAGATTCCTTGTCTACCCGTTGCTGGACTCCTAGACGCAGAGCTGAAATCAATCAACGGTGGCAAAGGCATTCGCAAATATTCCCCTTCGCAGTCGCCGCTCTACTCTCTGGGCCCCAAGCGCGCCGAAGATCACGGTCGTTGGCCTCGGATTCTCGCGAACACGTCTATTCACATTGCACATGCTCCAAAGTCCGAAGCAAAAGGGTCGGGGGGAGTAATCTCTTCTTCGACATCCTCGGGGATGCTGGGCCGATTCAAAGGTGCTGGGAGCAGGATTACAAGCCTACGGAAGGCTGCAGAGAGCACCAAGTACATCTAGTCCCAATCAACCGCAGCAGTCACAAGTGGAACGACCATGATCTTTGAGCAACTGGGCTTGGTCATCACTTGCTCTGGTTCCAGGCCGTTCTAGGCGCCTTGCTGCAGGGAATGTGGCGTCACTTGCCCCAGCAAGGCCAATGCACGACGCCATTGGGTACCTGCTTGCATGGACGTGAAGTGAGTGCTGTCATGCTTCGGCAATTCTGCAGCCCTAGCGCAGCTTACAATGCAGCTCTTGCCTGCAGAGCAAACGCCGAAATCCTGATATCCTAAACGCTGCATGACGGACCTGTTGCGCATGCGTGGATGGCACTGGCGAAGGTGGCCTGCATGGGCCGAGGTCATGAACAACACCGCCTCGCTTCGCTGCATGTCTTAGTTTCTGGACATTTCGTTTGCAAATGCTCGGGTAGATCTGTGATCCCAAAGAATAATATAGCTTAAAGAAGCCAAGTTGCTCGCCGGAATGCCGACAGGAATTTGGAACATGTTGACAGCCGACAGCACCACGGCTTTGAAAACCAAAAGGCCTCAAGGTCTCTGCTTCGGCGCCTCTGTTGGCCGCGCTGCACTTCGGGTCGTCAAGATATGAAGATACCACAGGGCCCAGGGCCACCTGAAATAGTCTATCCTCTATCCTTGTCTGATAGCTCTCACAGACGATCTTCGGCATGCGGATGTAAATGTCGCATCACGACACCCGTATCTTACTGCTCAGACCATTGCAAACTGTCGCGGCAAAGGCCAGCACGCGACAGATCATGTCCTTGTCAACCTTCTTCAGGCAAGCCACCGTGAACCGGTTGAGCAGCTGATGATGGAGTTGTACGTGACGACATCCTGCTAGAATGCAACTAGCTCTCTCTTGTGGTCGTTTTCACGCGCAGATCGCGCAGGCTTCCGTACAAATGGACATCAAAAGATTGGCTTCTGCCTTGGTTATGTGGCATCTTTGGGCACATGTGTCTTCATGATGCTCTGTGCATCGCGACAGTATGTCTTTCCTGCTCTGGCCTCTCGGGTTCCTGGCAAACGTGATGGCGGTCCACGGATCAGGTGGGATGGAAATGCACTGCCTCCGATAGTCCCGACATGTCACGACCCCTCAACATACTTTGGCTGCTGTCAAGGGAGCTTTCGAGCACCCACCGGCTTGGCTGAACCCATCAGTCCGGCGTAGTTCGTCGAGCCCCCAAGGAAGCGAACAATGACCTGTGCCAGGTGCATTTTGCTCGTGGGTCAAAGCTTGCTTTGTCGAGCCCGTGCTCAAGGTGAAGCAGGAAAAATCCGACCAAACAGAACATACTCTAGCTGCTGACTAGTCTAGTCCTAGTTACGAGTAGTAAAATATGCATCTGGTTTGACATACTTTTGGGCTAGTCTCACATTTGAGTGGCTTCATGTGGGTCCTTATTGACGGGAACCCCAACAAGCGAAGGACGCCTTTCCTATGCATTGCCGTGCTGAGCAGCAGCCGACGCGTCTGCACTACAACCCGTGGATCCGTCTGAACCCCTGTCCGTTTCCGCTCGCTCCTTGCCCGCAAAAAGCCGCCGTCCTTGCACGCCGCCAAGGCGGCGTTGGTGGCCTGAGGGCATGGCGATCGAGTTAGGCTGCGATTTGTCTTCCAACTGTACTTCAACGCCGGTTGTGACAGTCTACCCCGAGTGTTGCAGGGGAAATTTCGTAACCGCATTCATAGGTCCATGTCCCGGGTCTTCGTGTCTGGCCATGTTATCGCTTCCGACTTGAGACCCTGAGGGGCAACCGACGGTTTTCGTCGTCTCGGGGGTGTCTCTACTGTAAGAAGCTGCGCTCTCGCTTGACAGAAGAACAAATTTGATGAAAACTGAGGCATTTCTCTCTGGGTGATCTGAAGGCCTTCTTTTCTTCAATAAGTCAAGGAAACACATGCACGCTCAAGTATTGGGGACTCGCGGACCTTCAATCTATCGCCTGGTGCATCCGGTCACCTGTACTTCTTGACAAGCCCAACAGTGTACAACTTGCATCCAAAGATCTCGAACGACGTATTGCAACGATATCGTCGCAAGGAGCTCTGTAGAGTGGGACCAGCGGCTGCACTGTTCCTGTCTCATGGTGTCGGGTGTTCCCTCCAACCCAATCGGGCTTCAAAGCGATTCTGGAAGGAGCATGCGGCAGAAGATAAAGATAGAGCGGCACTCGGGACCGAGGGCAATCCTACATTCCTAGACATTCCTAGAAATCCTCAACTTAAACAGGTGAGGGAACGATGTCATCTAAGATATTGTCTGACCGAAGCCCAGGTTCCAGCGTCATGGCCACAGTGCCAAAGGCAGCCGCATCTGCGACTCGGCACCTCGCGGCTTCGAAAGGTGCTAGGTGCAGCTCGGAGCCTTTGAGCTCCCTAGCCGTTAGCCATCGTAAGCCGGCAAAAGATGTGTCAAGCAACTTCCACCTAGTCGGGGACTTACCGCTCTCCACGGATGGCTGCGTGCTGCTTCGGGCGAGAGGAATGATTTCCGGGGCTGAGATGTCAAAGCATTGCGCACAGCGAATCCTGGCTCTGGCATACCTGACCTTCGACTGACTAAAAGGCCAAATCACAAGCAAGTGCTCCCAGCCTCTGAGCATCCAAACACAGCGCCAGTGAGTGTCGCCTTGGCGATGAAGGGATCTATTGTTGCTTCTCACTCCCAGATGCCGTCGCAGTATCCTGCCGTAGTTCTATCATTTCTCCCAACATCCAGCTGATAATGTCGAACCGCCGGGAAACTCGTTCGAAACAAGAGAGGTTGCAAGAGCAGGGGAGAGCTGAGTCCCTCTTCGTAGAAAGGCAAAAGCATCACGTACAAACCAACAGCAAAGCGCCAGCGCATGCAGCTTCTTCTCACGTGCCTAATCAAGTCCTGCGAAAGGGAAAAGCCTATCCCTGGGGCGGAGACCCTACCTTGGGCTTTTGGTCAAGTCTCAAACGATGACTGCTGAGGCATGCTGGGGAACTAAAAGCATGTCTGTGCTGTTCGAATCAATGACAGCACGTGCAGCATGATTCTGCGACCTTTCCCCGGTCCAGATGATGCGTTCCTCTGCATCTGCACGTGCTGACGGCACCGTTGTGGCTTCCGCAACTCAGCCGGGCTGCCATGCCCGTCCGCGCTGCAGGGCACCCAGGCCGGCCCCAACGACACCGCAGTCGGCGCGGCCCTGGCTGTGACACAGCATTGCTTGGCACCGATCTTCATAAAGGGGGGTGCGCCTGCCCCATCAATGAGCATGCGTTGTGCTTCGGACGACGCACCGTGCAGTGTCAACCCTCCGCACACGTGGCCTCGAGATGTCCGAGCAACTCCAGGGCTGCTTGCCATTTCTGTACCTCCAGGGGAAACAACCTCTGCAACCTTACAGCTGCAGCGTGAACGTGCATGCACGTTTGGCTTCTATATCAATGTAGATTCTGGCATGTCTCTGTGAATTGATCGCGAACGTTCGGATGTTTAGCCGTCTCATGTGCTCGGTTTGAAGGGTGCAAGTCTCCCATCAGTCTTCCACCTGTAAGTTGAGGAAGCACTCTTCCTGTCCGAAGTTGTGTGCGGAATGTGAAGTATCGGGTCTGGAAGCCATCTCGTGTGTTGCCGTCAAAATACATTCGTTGCTGATCTCACGCACGTGCCTTTCCCAATGCGGAGATGCGGGATTTTGACACCTCAGGGAGCTTTGAACATGCACAACTTGAGACGGAACCATGCCCAACAACTTCTGGGATCTCGCCTGACGAAAGGGGCCGACAGGGCACGCCCAACAAACAAAGATCAACTGTGATAGCCCGTGCTGAAGCGATTTGCTGAGCGGACTTTGGGGGTGTCTCGCGATCATGCTGTGTGCCTGCAACCACTCACACATGCCGGTAAACTACTGTCGGAAGTGTTAGACTGCTAAACTAACCTTTGGCATGAGTATAGGGAGCCCACGCGCAGGAGCCGGTGCAGGTGCCGTCGCCATGCGTCCATGGACGCACATGATGTTCTGCGTGTCTGATAGTCTCGGAAGACATGATCTTCAGCTGAGAAATGTAACATGCCGCCAGCCACTTGTAGGTTGGGGTGGTTGGGCATGCGTGGATGCAACACACGGGCGATATCTTGGAGTGTCTGCTTTGCCTACGATCAGGCAATGCTGTCCCATGTCATGAAAACAGCTCGAAAAGAGCGCTTTGAGGATTTGGGAATGGCTGCTGAAAGGGGCTAGTGGGGCCACGAGGAGACCAGAACGAAGGAGCATTGGATCTTCCACGTGTGCCGCCCAAAGCATGCGCTTCAATTTTCCCCTAGCCGGGCTCATCAAAGTATGATAACAGCTCGTCATAAGCTGAGCGGATTTCCGTGAACCGCTGCGTCACGAGATCCTCCATGTCCTTGCTGTTCCTTGCCGGTGGACAGTCAAGATCTTGGAACAAAAACGAGCAAAACAAAGATGATGACAGCGGACCTCTGGAATGTGCTGGAACCTTTCGCTTAAGTATATGCTTCTATAGTATCTCAATGTCTCTACATATCTGCACAGATTCGCGCACGGCAGAACATTAAATAGCCCGTCAGAACAAAATTCAAGCCCTAACCCCTGATCTTGCCGACAAGGATCTTGTCTGGATGATATTTCAGCGCGAGCTTCTTGTAGGCGGCCTGCGGACAAGCGTCTTACAAGTGGCATGCTCTCATGCGTAGCCGGCGCAGTGCTTGCACTGTATGATGCAAGTGCCACATGTATATCCCGATCTCTACAGTGGAAGGATGTGGAAGGCGTGGCTTCGCCTTGACGTCCCGCAAGCTTGCATTGGCCGGCAGCAGCAAAGTCTGAAGATGCTGGCGGATGTGCATAGGAACCTCGCGCCATTCCGCGCTCTGCAGTCGGAAAAGGCCCCCCAGGCTGATGCGGAGGCTGAACATCCTCCGCGTTAGTTGCCGCACAAGAAGCCATCGGCTGTGGTGGTGGCGGCATGTACTCGAAGGGGCAGTTCGGCCGTCCCTGTTGGTCCTGCAGAGGTTGTCTGTGCTGGGTGAACTCTTGCAACACCGACTTCGTACATTGCAGGCTGCAGAGTCCTTGGCCTGTTCTCTAGGTGGCGGCTGCCATCCCCTTGCATCGCTTGGCATCTTTGTCTGGCCCCCCGTCTTGGGGGCCCACTGAAACCAAATAGCCTGCCGCCAAGAGCGAACGGCTGCAGGCACATGTGATCGGTGTTGTCAAGGTGTCCTTATTGTTATGCAAACTTCATGAGGTGCCCACTATGGCACAAACATCAGCGTCTTCGTCGCCCTCATATGCCGCCGCCCGCCCATCATGAATCCACCCGGCCTCACGAATCAAGCGCTCACGCCGACCGTGAAAGTCGGCGGAGTTGAAATACGCCGAGCGCATCCCCATGTTCCAACACTCCTCTTGTGGTGAGTTCGTAAGAGTACTACTGCAGTTACTACACATACAGGCCAGCATCAGTAACCAGTGACTCGCAACTCGTAAGCACTCCTCGCGCAAGGCATTGAACGGGAGGGCATCCCAATAGGCAACCTTCTTCACTCGAGTTCTTTGCTCTTTCCTCGGCTTGTCCATGCCTAGTCATAGGCAGGCGGAGGCACGCACCTAAACAGGGTCTATACTCGAAGCACCTCACATCGAATCCCAGCATCTCTGCAACTTTGGGCAGGTCAAAGGTTGCATACTCCTTCTGCAAGGAGGGGGAAGGCAGCTCGTCGATCTCGCACCACCTCTGTCCGGGAATGTCCCACCATGTACAGGCAGGTACAGTATCGTCTTAATTACTAGTAACTAGTACCTTTTGGGAACAGGCTTTTTGCACAGTCTCTCGCATTGAAACGGCCAACGTTGAAGCACAGCTCAAGCTTCTGCGGCATCACGCAGACGTGCACTGAACTGCAAAAGTTACAAGCGCTCTAGTTCTCGCCCAGCATTCACGAACCACGCCCTGAAAAAATCTGGCCCTCCCTCAGCCAGACTCAGCCGCTCTTCCCTCGCTTCGCTCCGCCCTCTTCACGGCCTCCGGTATAATGCTGCGGCTCGCTTTGTGGTGACCAAGAGCTTCAAGTCCAGGCCAATGGCTAAGTACAGGTCCTAGTAGGGGCCGATGTCAAGCAGTGCGCAACAGATCCAGCACTCTTGCGATGGAATTCCTTCAGTTTCGTCGGTTGACGAAGGTTGATCATTTGATGGGTCTCTGGCAGTTTTCTCCTGCATGTATCATACACAATACCCATATCTAGATATATAGCCCTCTACTTGGTCTAATGCAGAGGTGTTGCTGAACATGTTTTCTCTACGAAGACACGACAAGCTTGGGGATGATATGGTTTGATGACTGTTGTCACAGTAGGATTCGTTTTTGGCATGCGGCACCCTTGCGCGCAGGCGGCCGTGGGATAATCCGGGAGTCGAGAAAGTCATGGTTGCTGCCTACCACACCACGTGCCTTGCACAGAGTACCCAGCAGGCGGTCCCAAAGTTCTGCTCGCTGCAGCTCCTTCGAGACAGCTGCTGGCAGCTTACTATAGTTGGACAAATCTCGTTCAAAGCTGAAATAGATTACTGCGTGGTCATGGCCTCCAAGGCCGCCTTGCGGGACACAAACAGCTAGCCGCTGACTTCAAAACTGAAGTGCAGCTGGGCCACGAAGGAAGTCGCCTCCAGGGGCCCAGCCAGCTTTCGCCGGGCGCACTCCCGAAAAAGAGCCTCGTTGCAACCATCGGCGACCGTTCCGGCCATAAGCAGCAACAACTACAACCACCAGTCCAACCACACGTACGACACAAATGCCGTCAAATGCCTTCTACAAGCGGAGTCCTGCTGGATCTGGGACCAGCATGAACACCTGAAACCAATGCCTGCCTCTCCGTGATCACACTGCTCTCGGGGGGTGGGATCGCAACATATCGCAACTAGCTGGAACTTCGAGTTCGACACAATTCATATTGCCATGCAAACAGCTTCCGAACAATCAAAGCTTCCAAGAATGAACCAGCACATACGAAAACCGAGACACTGTCAGCGGCAGCTCCTCCCAGACCGCTGCACTTCGAAGTTGGGCCTCCTTAGGTGGGTCGAACCCGGATCTATGCGAGCTCTCAAAGCTGAGCTACGCTACTCGAGCGAAGAGGAAACTGCTCACTCGTTTCTGGGGAACACAAAAGGACCGGGATGAGGTAGTGATCGGCACTTTGGACTCCACACCCTTAGCTGCCTGAGCTCATCCGTCTCTGCTTTAGGGACTTTCTCAGATGCCGGCACCCCATACTCAAATCTTCTTCGGCAGGTCGTTTCGATCATTTTCGATCATTTCTACCTGGAGCCCTGGCCCTCAACCAAAAAGGCTTGCCCTGCAGAAAAGACAGGAAAGCCTCAAAGGTCAGGAGCGCCTGTTCATATCCCAGATTCGAGTTCCACCTTGGCGTCTGGCTCGATGCCCACCAGCCTCCCATAAAAGGAGGGACCCTTAATGGGGACCCCTAGGTATATACCCATAATATAGCCATTATATACCCATTATATAGCGAAACAGACTTAGTTGGTGACTTCAGAAACGGGCTCCTAGCATATGGGTGGAGCCTTTCTGCCAACAAGTAGTTTACGTCCTGCAAACACTGGGCTAAGACAAGGTCGTCATCTGAATCTCGCATCGCTTGGTTGAATATGTTGAAAAGCGCCGGGAATCCAATCTTGGCGCACCGGGGCTACACGGGATTTCCTGTTTCTGCGAACTGACAAACTGTAGTGCAAACTACAGGCACGCAATCAGTCTGAAAAGTTTTCGTCGAGCGGCTAGGAGTACATGGCGAATGGCCGGTCTTGATGTGCTCTGATGCCAGTGATGATCACTTGCGTGTCTCGAGCGGGTTCTTGTGGAATTGAGCGTCTGCATGTGTTGTGATGCCACTGATGTGTGTCTAAGGCGGGGGCTTTGTGGGATCGATTATGAAGCTGTGATGCCGGGAGCCGGTGCTTCTGAAGTCCCTGCAACTCAAGGCGGAAGAAGTTGGTTTGACGAAGGCACTGCACGCCTGTTGGGCGAACAGAGTTGTTTTCGGTATGTAGTGAAAGCGTCTCGATCACCCTCCTTTGCGCTAGAGACCCACAGCCGACACATCTGCAGTTTCCAAGTTCAAACATCGTTACGTGAATCGGATGCGCAGAGTAACCCCAGGACCAATGATCTCGCGTGTAGCCCACCAAACGGTTTGCGAATGGTGGGTGTTGCTCCAAAGATCAGAGCTCAAAACGTGGACCGTCTTGAAGCCACAAGATCAAAACTCGGAAATGTGGTTCTCGAATGCTTTTCGATACACAGGGCTTCGATTCACGCGACGCGAAAAAGCAGCGTCTACTTGGAGATTCGGTGCCAAGATGTACTCGAGAGTGCAATGAAAACAAGCGTGAAGCACTTGATTCGCCAGCATCCGCGACATATCCTGAACCTTGGGCTTGTGCGTCCTGGAGCCTTTACACAACTTCCACAATGGACTTAGCATCGGCTGATGTGTATTCTCGCCACTGATGTGTAATTCTCTGGAACATCGGCTACACTCGTGAGGCAGAACGCCCCAAACCTGGCCTGCTACCCAAACTGACCGTGACAAAGCTCGCTCAATGCCGGAGTGATGGACTAGGCCGAAGTTGACAACATTGAACACTTGTTCCAAGGAAGTAGGGTGCCGGATCTGTGTGGCACCGTAAGTTTCTCGACTCTGTGTTCACTCGCCACACTATACTGACTATCCAGCAGAGTGTAAAAATCAACGGAGAGAGCTCTGTTGTGACTGTGTAAATTTGGCAAAGGCTGCCTAGTGAACTCCAGGGCAAGCTCATTGGCGCTCATCTTGGCCAACACCTCAGCTTGCACTTCCACAGTCTGACAGTCTACACATAGGAATTTTGCAAAATCACGACCAATCAACCAGTGCATGGGCACCTTGGAATGACATGCGAACGCAAATAGAGGTGCGCATCTAACACGTTGCTAGATGTCCGATTGCCGGTCTAGATCTGGCAGTGTCAACCGCCTTTCATGAGTCACCTGGTCCCCTGGCCGCAACGTAAACGCAAAGAAACCCATCCTGTCACACCGAATAGCACCAGCCACACCTTTTCTACCATTCAGAAAATTCACATCCCATCGCTCGGTAACCGCATTGGCCGCAGCGAACGAGCCCAGATCACGGACAGGGACGCCAGAGCGCTCCTCGCATGTCCGACAAGGCAAGTGCAGCACGATTGTCCAGCGTCAGTAGAGCTGGGCAGCTATGTGGTTCGCAAGCTCAACAACTTCACCGGCCTTCCCTGAACGTATATGCCGAGTCCATGCTGCTGACCCTCATCGCAAGAAGTTGTTGCCAAGCGGAGGCAGGGAAGAAATGTCTTCGTTACTGGTTGCTTAGCCTATAAAGATTCAAGAAGAGCACGGTGCGAGATGGACCATCATTTGGCGAAGCGTCGTAAAGACCAGCAAACAGGTCCACTGTCAGTTCGTTGAGCATGCTGTTCAGGAGCTCATCATCCTTGTCAACGCTCAGCTTGTCGAAGTCCTTCCAGGCTAGATTCGATCACGTTCAATATTAAAGCCTGTGATGCGTCGCGCAGCAAGCCGCCTTCTTGTAAACCCACTGGGTGGCATTCAGGCCGCCAGCGAAGGTTTCGATGTTGAAATCAATCCTTGCATCACCACCTGGCAGGCATCAGGAAGAGACTAGCACTTTGCTTGCATCAGATTTTCGGGGTGCCTTAATCTAATTATAGTATCATGGGCCCCAAAACCCTATTCTAATTATTAAGGCCTCTTTCTAACAACTCGAACATCCAGCGCCCTGCAAGCTCCAAGCAGCACCTTTGTCGAGGCTGACCACAGTGCCCTGAAGTCCAGACTTCAACTTCAGGTTGCTGACGCTGTAGAAATCCTGGAGTACCTGTCACGAGGTAGGCCCTTGGGACATTTTATACTTCCCCTTATTGGGCTTAATAGGACCCTACTTACGAATATTTTCAGAGGCCTTAAAGGGCCAACCTAGAATTTCTTATTACCCGCCACGACATGGTCCGTAGCTTCGGAAGGGGCGGTGCCCTCAAGCTGCAGCAGCAACAGCACTTCGGCAATTCCTAGCTCCTTGCCTAGTGAGCTGAGCTGCCTAGATAGATGTCAGAGATGCATTTGGGAGTTTCCGAAAGTAGGGGACCCTAATCTGGTACCCTAAATAGTAGGATCCGAATCCTTATTATAAGGACCCCCAAATAAGGTACCCCCAATTTTCGGAAACTCCCATTTAGTCATAAGCCGAGACACGGAGATGCAGGCTCCCACATGAAGACTCACAGTGGGATCGGGGCCCTGAGGGTGCGTGTGGGAGTCGGCGCGTCCTACAGGCCGCTGAGCTTTCCTCAGGCCCTTGGCGTCACTCTCTGCCTTCAGTTCCTTCAGCTGCATTTCTCTCCAAATGCGCAGCTTCTTGAAACGAATCAGCAGGAAGGAGGCCCCATACCACTCCAAGCAGGCAGCTCCAGGTAGTCCAAGGATTTCACACTCGTCCCTCAAGCCACGGGGGCTGAGATGATCCAGTCGGTCCCATTCTTGCGCAATGCGATTGCCAGCATGAGCAGCCGACAGTGTGCCAGCCCCGCCAAGCCGTGCCAAGGGGATGCCTCGCTTCTCTAAGGCCTCGTGATCCAAAGGATGCCTGCTAGGAAAAGCCGAGTCCGCAGCTCGCAAGAACTCTGGTTCCGTTTGGAAGCGCCGGGGTGCATAGTCTAAGGCAGCCCCGTTGCCACGAACCGATGCCAGTACGAAAGAGGCGCTGGCTCGCAGCTCTTCCGGCACGAAGTTCAGTACTGCAGGGGACTGCCGAATGATGGACAGCAAGTACGCGAGATCATCGAGCAACTTCTCATCAGCGTACTGGATGGCCTCGGGGATCCTTTGCGTAAAACGAGATACGAACTGTGCGTCGCCGCGAAGAGGCGAGTGTGCCAGAACCACAGCACCCACCTTAGCAGCCACTTGACAGACAAAGTCCGGATCCTGGCGTATGCGCTGGGAGGCGAAGCGGAATGGGCATAAATCTGGAGCCGCCGCACGGTTGGGTCCAGCTTGCGTGGCCTCGAGGACCCAAGTGGGATCGTCCTGCAGGCAGCTGTCCGCATGTTCGAGAGCCAGGCCGTCCACTTTCAGTGATGCACGGAAGAGACCCGTGTCTGCCCGGAGCCGCTCGGAAGCAAATGCCAGGGCGGACGCGTCATCTTCGACAGCAGTCAAGACAACTTGTCGGTTATCACGGAAGCCCAAATCCAAATATTTCAATGCTTGCCCTGTGGTCTCCACTGCCTTCAAAGCGATGGCCCGATTGCAAAGAACACTTTCAGGCACAAGTTCCAACACGGCAACTTCGATTGACACTGCCTCAAGCACAAACTCTTCGTCTTGCCAGAGTTCTGCGCGGACGTAATGGCGTGCTTCGGGATTCTTCGAGATCGCTTCCAGGTTGAAGCCCTCATGGCATCGAAGCTCGTCGCTGCAGTATTGCAGGCAAACCGCATCCTTCTTTACGAGCGAGAGGACGAACTTTTCGCTCATCCGGAGCGAGTCTGAGGCATGCTGTAGTGCTGCAGGATTTCGCTGCACAGCTTTGGTGACGATATCCTTGCTTCCGCGAGCCTAAGAGCCGTGATCACTTAAAACATGTTGTGAGCTAGTCGAGCTCAGTCAGAGACTTTCTCAGTTTCTAACCATGGCGGACAACACCTCAACCCCCAAACCCTAAGCCGGTGCGTGCTGGAAGCTTCAGGAGGTCTGTAACCAAGGTGCAACATGGGAGTTTCCGAACATTAGGGGTACCTTATTTTGGGGTCCCTATGATAAGGATCATTTAGGTTACTATGTTAGGGTCCCCTATTTTTGGAAACTCCCACATTCAACTCCGAGCAGCTTCGGGTGAGGAGCTTGCAAGCACCTTTGGCTCAAGCTCCACTGCACGAAGTAAGAAGCCGCAATCCGCGAATACCGATGATGGCAGGTACTCCACAACCTGAGGATCGCAGAGCAGCTTGACGAGTGAAGCTTAATTCAGCAATCCCGGCACGGTCTGAAGCGACTGCATCGACACAAATAGATCGGAAGAACATTAAAAAGCTGGAACCGGTCACGGGTGAGCCGCCCTCCTTCCAACTACGAGTACTAAGTACAACATAAGAACATGTGCTTCGCAAAGCAGGCCTGGCAGTTGGCTGCGAACGCTCGCCTCAAGCGGTGGCATACTTCAAGCATGGCTTCTGCGATTTTCCGTTATATAAATGACTGCACTGCCAGGTGCTATCTCCACCTCCTGTGATCCAGAGCCGAGGGGCAGCAGAAACTCCTTGTCATCCCGCATCTCTGCTGGAAGATGCTCAAAGGCTGCAGGTGTGGCTTTGATGACTTTGAGGGTCAGCCTTGGTGAAACCATTTTCTCACTCAAGCGATTGTCTATTTTACTAGATATCTTAGTATATATTATTATTATTAGTATTAGTAATAGTATGAATATTAGTATTACTATTATCACGAAACCCACTTCGTCCGGACTGGTTACTGCTTCGATGCACACAGTACGAAGCCACCATGGGGTGCATCCTTATGTTTACGCTCTCAGCTCGACCTTGCGAATGGGTGTACAAAGCTAGTTCTGTTCTCAGGCAAGAACCACCATCTCCAGGCAACTTGTGTGACAAAATCAGCAGAAACTCCTTACCTCAACTGTCATCGCCGTCCTGCAGTCCTGTTGCGTTTTTGCACTACTTTCACTACGTTCATCCCACTTGTGTTTTAAGTATTAAAAATTGCCTTTTTTGTAATGGAATAAACGAGTACTGGGTTCTACGAAACTCTACCATCTTCCCACAAACGAAACCACAACCGAGCTCCAAGCTCAGCATCAGCCTGGCCGGGTTGAAGGCGGCGGAAGACGCCTCCAGGGCTCAGAAGAGGTCAGCCCGGCTCATCTCATATACTACTTTTGGGGGTTCCTTATATCTCATGATATAGGGGCCTACATAGACAATTATAGTATTATGGGCCCCAAAACCCCATTCTAATTATTAAGGTCCCTGGAATTCTTAGTATCATGCGCTTTGAGCTGCCAGTGCAGTCGACGAAGCAGGGGCTGAAAGGGTCTTGAGCTGCGTTCTAGATGGTCGAGCTGGGTGCTTCAATAGAAATCCAAAGGGACGACAAATCGCAGCGCTGGCGCCTGGGTTGATTTGAAGGACCTCCAGCAGAAACCGCCGGTCGGCTTGCAACTTCTCCGAAGCCTCAGGCTGCCCTCTTTGCATCTGTCAGACCCTCGAACTTTGTATTATTGATAGTAGCAGTAATTTAATAGTAGTAGCTGGCCTTACATCTCTCTGGCTCCCGTACCTTTCTTCGGCAGGGGTTCTCGGAAAACAACATGGCCGGTGCTCACATTGCCAAGCGTCGTACTCCCAAGCAGCGTCATTCTTCTCCAACACGGCACGAGTGAAGCTCCTGTCTTGCCAGAGAGACTCAGCGACGTACTCCAGTGCTGCATCACTCCATCGAGCTGCCGTCAACGCGATTTCCCGGTCTCCTCAGCGCTGAGCTGAGCAGGCTGAGCTTTCCGCTGTACTAGTCATTGAAGGTCACATCCTACCCCCCTGCACTCAGCAGTGCTCAAACTGGGCACAAGCACGTTTCAGTGCATCGGAGGCATATTCCAAGGCACTGCCGTCCTTCACACCGGTCCACGAAATACACAAAAGCTAGACATGCAGGGAGGCATGACCTGTAACAACACATCATGGATGCACATAGAAGCATCCGGCACACACGGACATGCATGCAGGCATGACTCGCACGAGACATGTACAGATGCACAGGCTTAAACCAATAAGTACATATGCATCACAGGCCAAACATAGTCCCGTGTTTTGCATCAGACGAACAGTTGTGAAGCCGTCGCTGAAAGCTTACGGTAGCTTGTGGACCGAAGCCGTCCTCGCGAACAGCAGTCTGCACGATCTCCCGATCCCCTTGGAACTTCCCAGCGCAGGCCAAGGCATAGCCTGCAGGAGCATGTCACGCGTCCCCCCGCCCATTTACAAAGCTTAGGGTTCCGGCGCTCACTCTACAGTTTAGGGTTAGGAGTTTCAGAAACATCGGGGATCCTTGATCCTAAACCCGATATAGTTTTGGCGCCCTGCATTGGTGGACGATTCGTAATACAAGGTTTTAAGGACACCGCAACAGGGGCCCTTGGTCAACTTGCTCTTGAAAAGATCACACTCAGTTCTACACTGAACAAAATCGAATCTCACAGTCGTCTCACCCAACGGTGTTTGCCTTGGTTGCTGTCCGTCTCCTACACCTAGTCTCAGCTTCAAAACTGCTGTCCCAGCTAACGGCAAGCAGCATACACCCTGGGCTTGGCAACTTGACCGCCTTGACTTGTGCAACAGTACATACTATGCAAGCCAAGTCTTGTCAGCTGCAGGCAAGGTGTCCCAAACAATGCCACGAGGAGGCGTCAGCACCCGGCCGGTCCCACGTTCAGCATGTATCCCCGATTCACCAGCGTCCCGACAATAATACTGCTTCGGTACAAGTAAAATTGCACCGCGGAGCCGTTGCACTGCACAGCTGCCAACACGAAGAGGCGGTCGCGGAGCAGGGAAGGGCTGGCGAACTGCAGCGCGAAGGCACCTTTCCTCGGATGGCACAGGATGAGCTGAGCAGAGAGCTGCAGCTGACGCCGCGAGCTGCAGGGTCTGCTGACCGAGGCTCTTCACAGCAGCAAGCACCACCTCCTGGCTCACAGGAAATATCATAAACCTACGCCGGTAAGTGGCCAGGAAGAAAAGCCCCTTAAAAGGGGCTGCATCCAAACTCCACCCAGCTCTGTGCAGCGAGGAGTCCACTGGTGAGTAGTTTTGGTACAAGCCCCGAATGCTGCCCCATAGTCTGCTAGTGATGTTCTGAAGTGTATATCCGTTCTGCTGCAAGTCACAACACTCGGACCACCCGCACTCGACCACAAGCAGGGCTTGTCTTAGCCCGTGCCTTTGTGCGTTAAAAAAATTCAAGGGACGTGATCCTGCAGGACTGATGCACGAAGCAAAGTCCTTGTCTGATTGAAGAGTGCGTGCTGCCCATTCCAATGCCAGGCCATCCTGTATGAGTTCTCTCACAACTCTGAGTACACGATGGGCCAACAGAGCGAGAAATGTATTATTGCTTCGGAGGTGTTCGGCAGGCCTTCTGGACGATGGTGAGCACCACCTGCGAGTAGCTCATTCGACGAACATGTGACCAACACTTGCTCACATTGGAGGTGATCGCAGGGTCATGCCGTGCAGTCTTCCAATGTTGTCTCTACTTGATTCCGCGAAAAGCAGTGATCTCGACGAAGCGTTTAGTTTAGCATTGAAGTGAGGCTGCCAAAAAGCGTCGACATCGGCGAGCCAGTCATGCCGCTTCTAGCATCGCGCTTCTAGTGTTGGGTTTTGTGCGAAAGGGACGTTTTTTCAACAGCCCCGGCATTCCCTGAAGAGGACTTGAATCACAACCTTGCGGTTAAACGATGAGACAAGGTTGGGCCTGTCGATCCGCTCGAACATCTTCGGGCATCTTTCGCAGCCACCTGCGGCACATCTCCCCTTGCAGAGCTACTGTAGAACGACAGGACTGGTTGAAACTTCCAACTTTCGAATCATTTTGAACACCTCCATTTCCGCCCAGGGCCGAGGCGCGGCCGGATTTACATCGGTAGAGAGGATTGCTGGGGCTCCTGCTACGTTGTGCAGGCCTGAACCACCGACACCGAAGATGCAAGAGTGCCATTTCGGCGGAATGCGTACTGTCTATCCTGTCGTAACTGAGACAACAGCACCAAAGCAGTACTCAGTGCTCGGTCCCGCAAAAGATGGAGGCCAATGCGAGCAGGGCGCTCCCTCGCAGAGCCATGGAGGTCTCTGGCCTTCTCCTAGGTTCAGAACAGTTGCTGCAATGGGAGATTGTAGAAGCTTCAGCGACAATCTAACCTGCTTCTACCCTGTCTCAACTTCTCGAATTCGAACAGTGTTCGACCGGAACGTTGCCCTGGGTTCCGTTCACAGCTCCCGAGTGTCTTCACTTCCCTTTCAACGTGCGAACGGCCTGCCGGCTTACATGTCTCACCCCACCTAAGTCTTGGTACTTCATTGACGTTTGTATTTTTCTCCATCCCTCATGGAGCGGTTGCTCCTGTCGGCCCGTCGCAACGGCTTGCTATGCACTCTCGCTTAACTTCTCTAGTCCGTTTGGAACCATTTGCTTCCCCTAACCCACTTCCGACTCGATTCCACTTCTTTCCCATTTGCCGCTTTTGTTTGAACTGCCGCTCTGGCCACTTCGGATTGGTTTGCTGCCGCGATGGCCCTTCTTTCCAGTCCTTTCGAAGGAGCCACTCCCCTGCGTCAACTTCTCAGATCCTCTCCGCTCCCTTTGCTGCCAAGCCGCCCGAGCAGTCTCGAGATCACACATGGGAGCACCAAGTCAAGCATCATGCTTTCATGATTAAGGTCCGAATTGATCGGCCTATTCGTGCTTTAGCAGTGTGCTAAGGGCTTAGGCCGGCTACGGGGTGCTTGGAGTGGCAGCCGAGAAGCTAGTTCTTCCTGCCGCGTGGCTTACAAGGGGCTTGCTGAGAGCCACAATGTCGCTGCTGGGCAATGGCCCCATGCGCGGTGTCAAGCTCACCAGCCACCCCCCCTTTTGAGGAGCTCGGGAAGGCTGTTCCTGATCGATTTCTGAGTTTCTTTGGATTTGTTATTGGAATGCTGTTTCGGATTTACTTTGACTCTATATTCCAGTTTGTCGTGGACAGCCGTCACGGCATACCGCCCCCTGAAACATGAGCATGGCATCCCTCCTCCCTGCATCTCCCTGCATATCCTCCCCGCGATCCTCTGACATCCTGCCTCAAACATGACTCTCCGGAACAAAGCTGCAGGTGTTCACTCCAGGGCTTCCAACGCATGAATCAATGCATCTTGCATGCTGGCCTACAGGTCTGTAAGCACCAACGCCCAAACTGGGGCTAAACGGCCAGGCCTAGTGGGCGATGACATTTGCCCAGATATAGTGTCATCCACAAAGCTACAATCTCCCCCAACTCAGGCTGGTGTGTTTGGGGCATGCAGCACCATGGCCAGAATTGCTGCGCCATCTTCGTTTTTTCGCCGCAGCTCGGCCAAAGCAAGTGTTGAAACTTCTGGTCCCTTTGGCACATGCTGGTGCAGTGATTTTTCATGGCACCGCTTGCAAACAGACGTCCACTAATGCAGGGACGGACTGGATCGCTGGGAACAAAGTATCGCCCGGACATTCGGCAATTCGAACTGTCGAAAAAGCTACAGTGCGAGCGGCCGGGTCCTATTTCTGACAGGGTGTGTGGCTATGTAGAGGGGAGGGGGATGCGGGTTCAGGGGAAGAATCCGGTTCACTGGCTTCCAAAGAATTCTTTTCAGCGCAGTTGGAAGTGTCCTTCAAGGCAACCTCGCCGGCTTTGTACACATAAACGCCAAGGCGCAGCGGACAATCCTCGGCGTGACAAGCCACGACTTGGAGAAGGGCTCAAGGCGGCTTTCTGCTTTGAAGCTTTGAACCCAGCGAACTCTTTTTCTTCAGATCTTCTGCCCAAGCCACGCCTTTGGGCAACTTCACGCACGTCTTCCGGTCAGTGCCCTCCCCAACCTGTCATGCATCAATGTCCTACCCAGCTTGAGAGCACAGGAGGAATTGCAGCTGGCCATCCAACTTTCGAGGTCTCGAGACTTTCCACGGGCCTCCACAGTCATGTTCTGGGAGTCCAAGGTCACCTGAGATGCAGCTGGCCGTGTCAAGGCTCAGTCTCTGCATGCCGCAGCGGCACGGCACGAGCCCTGGACAGTTCGTCTTGGCCCAGTCGCGGAATAAAGGTCCTCCTTGTTGGCCTCCACCGTCGCCACATTCGAACCGCGCCTCACCTCAAGAGAACGGGGCATCGGCTAACTCGGGGGGAGGATGCCGAAACGAAGAGCTGTATGCGCAGAAGGCAGAAAGCCGGCCGGGGCTCCCTGTAGTAGAGTCGAGTAACGCCCAAAAAAGCGCGAATGCAAGCGAGATGCGTAAATAAAATGGGCATATCCAGAACTTGCAGGCATGGAGACCAGCAGCTGTACGGGAAGATCGCCGTCTGAAAAGGCATCCTGTTACATATTCAGAAACTCTCAAAAAATCGCCGAACTGCTCCAGGGCAAGATCATTCGGGTTTTACGGCGTTTGCGGCTTCTAGCGGCCTCCAACTCGGCCCGCCCATCCTGCTGATCCTCAGATGTCGGATGCGAGCAGCGCCGGCCAAGAACTTAGACTTCTCATGCAAGATGTTTGCTTGTCAATCAAGTCCTCCAAAATCACCCCTCAGACTCATATCTGTGGGCATTGCAGCTGCGACTCCCTGTTCATAGCCATCTGTCCACCGTTCTTGATTTCCATGTATTTGGCCGACCTGAACTCAGGACTTGCCATGCGCGCCTTCAAACCTCCCAATCAACGCCACACCACCTTAAAGCTCGCTGTTGCAGCTTAAGGGTACTTCCCGACGTGCTTCCTCTCGGGTTGACCCAGGCAAGGCACGAATCCCCTTTACTCATAATATATATATATATATATATATATATTATAGATGGTATGTTCTATACTCTGAATTATATTATCTACTGTATATCGTATATTGTATTTTATGTATAAATAATATATTATACATTAGATAAACTATTATATTATCTGGGAAAACTGACGCAAGGCCGTTCTCAGCAGACTCTAGCCGACTGTCAGCTGCACAAGGTATTTGCAAAGGGTGAGCAATGTCTCATACCTCTCGTTTCTGGAACAGTCTGTCTTTTTGCAGCCAAGCTGGCATGTCTCCGAAGCCATCCACACACAACGAACCAAAGTCGTCGGGAGGGCTCTGTCGAAATCTGGCCACACGCACCTCAGGTGTCGGAGTCCCCCAAACAGCCACAAGTTCAAGTTCCTGTCCCCTCAGATGGGAGCTTCCCAAAACTGCGGACCCTTATATAGTAGCCTTTTTTGGTAGGATGCTTATTATAAGGGCCCCAAAATACGGTACCACCTGGTTTCGGAAACTCCCAGATGATCGCCGAGACGCAAGGACGCCAGTCAGCACTGCGTCATGTAGCTCCTGAGACTAAACTTCCTCCCTCTCCACTGCCGCCGTAACAAGCAGCAACTCACTGCGCTATGTGGCCATCTGGGCACATGCAGGAAAGCGGTGTACTAAGGTCTCGAATTTTGAGAAAGTTGATTGAGAAGTCGGTATTCGAGACGCTCCTCCGCTAGCCAATCATCTGGAAGGCAGGTCCCCTGGGGGTCCAGGAGCTTGCATGCCTGCGCGGCCACGACCATTCTGTGGAAGTTTTCCGCTCGCAGCACGACGAGACTTCAAAGCTGAGGCTTGCAGGGAAAATTGTAGCGACTCCGCTCACAGGTGCACGAAACCTATTGCTAAGCTGCAAAGCTTGTGGGGAGAGCTTGCATGTAGCCGGGCAAGGAGTCTTCTCGGCCTTGCCCTCCGTCAGACCGAGCTTTTGTGAAATTTTGCGACGAAGTTCGGACACAGTGTCCTGGCGGTGGGGTGCTGAGAAGACTCACTCGCAGTGCCGAGAACCTTATGGAATGTTGATGGGGCGGCTACTTCAGTTTTGGGACACTTCCTACTGTCCTATTGCCTCATTGAAAAGGGCAAAGCCTGCGCCATGCATTTTGTGCTTCGCTCTTTGAGGCTAAGGCTCCAGAGCCTTCAGTACTTTGAGCTTCTCCTTCGTTCAGCCTTTGCGTTCAGTCGCTTTCGGCCAGCTTCCGCTTGGAACTCCGAGAGCCGTAAGCGCTAGTGTGCAAACCTGTATCGTACTGCAGACTGCAACAACCGAATGCTGAGATGTATTGGGGCATCCTAATGCAACACGGGGTGGTCGGGGATGCCAGCACAACTTGCATGCCGCCCAGTCCATCTTTCTGCAGCATAGCTCCTGAGCTGCAGCTTCTAGGAACTACTCGCACTCAAAGATGCGCAAGAGACTTCTGCCTTCAACAAGAAAAGAGCACAAGCAAGCACCAGTATCCAGTATCAGCCATTTCTCTATAGTACTCGCAGCAGGCACACTTGTCTTAAAGCATTGGAGAAGCTGAGGACGCCGATGAAGCCTTAATGGGGACCCCTACCCTATAATGGGCTATATAATGGGTATATAATAGCTATAGGAAGCCCGAGCTGCTTGCACATGGCCGGAGAGCAGCACGACTGTCAAACGAACGTCCACGAGTTCTGCCGGCTCCTGGGGCTGAGACGCAGGCGCGAAGTAGAGGGTTTCTTTGAAGCCTTCAGAACACAAGTGCTCCTTTGATAAAGATGTGGGTGGTTGTCAAAATTACGGCCCCTTTTGGGTACCCTAAATATAAGGTGCCGCATTAATGTTTCACGTGCACCAATGAGTGCTTCATGCAAACGACCGACTGATGTCCGTTATTAATAAGCACCCAAAAAGGGACCCTAATTTTGACAGCCACCCATGTGGCTCCTGTCCTAAGCGATCGGTAGGAACAGCCGTGGTATCCCTGGCACTGACACCCCTAACCGGGTCCTCTGGTACCCGCTCGACAAGTGTTTCGTCAAGCATGGCTCTGGGCAAAGGATGCGGCACGTGTCGCCGCGTCGGAAGTCCAGTCAACTTTAAGTTGATGGCTCAGGGCTCAAGGCAAGCAATGCCTAAACAACACGGAATAGAATGGGGCTGCAATTTTTGTCTTTATCTGTAGGGGGAGATGGCAAGAGACCACCTTCTCGAAAACATGCTTCTGCTGCCTGAATTGGCTATCTGTCTTCTGGTTGTGGTGCCGTGTCTCCGTTGCTCGATTCATAGTGCCATGGCCTGTTCAACAGAAACAGGTTAGGTTGGTTCCGCCATCCGTGTGCGTGTCTGATTTTGAGTCGTGATTCTGGACAATCACGGCGATAGTGCATTGTCAGTCATGCTCGGCAAAACATGGAGGCATTGCAGCACAAGATCCAGCTGCAAGGAGGAGTCGGCAATGAAGACTGGAGATTTTAAGTAGAAACCAGCTGTTGTAAGAGTTGAGATGGTGTTCCTTTAGACATCTTAAAGTGTTAAACGGCTTTCGACTCTCGCACTCGCACGCGGCAGGCAAGGATTCACTACGTCTGGTCTCAGAGAAACTTGATGTGACGTGGCACTTCGAATGTCAGCCAGCATGCAAGAACCAGCCCCAACAACCAGTATCCCCCAAAACAGAGGTTTAACGGGCAGGGAAGTAGCTCCGAACTTGCGACTTTTTCTGCTTTTTCAGGACGCACCGGGGTCCAAGCGCGCAAAGGTCCAGGGCACCACCAGCTCGGCAGTGAGGACAGCCCTCGGGTTTAAGCCGGGCTTTTTGAAGGCTCTTGAAAGGGGTTCAGCTGATAATTATAGGGTGTCTATAGGCAGGGTCTTGTACGGGCTTAGGGCCAATTATGGAGGTAAAGTGTTGGTAAAGGACATGAAAACCAAGCCTGAAGTCGATCATGTCATCCAAGCCCTTGCGTGCGGCAGGAAGGTACACCGTCTGCGTATTTGTACGATCCATCGTCGCATCGGTCGAGTATTCTATGCAACAAACTTGTGGAGAACCCCGGCCCAAACGTAGGAAGCGAAGATGCCACACCTAGACCTCGGCTTGTCCAGCACAGGTGCGATATGCCGGCTACCGCGTACGCTGCAGAGGGCCGCGTTCGAGACCATAAGCCTCTATATCGGCACACGGAAGTGGGTGCTTTCAGTTTTGTTGTTGGAAGCCCTAGAGACAGTGTGGAGGCCGCTGTTTGCAGGTGCTTGGGTCAGCTTGCCTATTGACGCTGATCAGGGATCTCTAGGCATGGCTGGCTGCAGTTCGATTATCGGCCGTGCTCGCATGGAAGAGTTCTGCTCGATCCGATCGTTGCTTGTTTATACCCAGGGAAGTTTCCCAAGACTTCAAGATGCTACTGATTGAGCCCCGAAGCTTCAGCCGACAACCTGTTGAGATCTACTGGTCTATTGGTTACTCATGGCCAGAGTCGCACGCCGACTGCCATCAAGAAGCTGTACATGGCAGTGTAGATGCGTGGCATGACCTGAGCTTGATTGTGATCGGCATATCTGAGACTTACCACGCATGCTGAACTATCTGAACTTGGTTGGACGCCCTCGGAGTCTCGACGAGTGACCAAGGACGGCAGAAAGCTGCGATTGGCGGTGGCAGCCTTGCGAGGAAATGTACGTGAAGCAGCCTGTAGCAACTCTGGTAGTCTAGGTCCGTGCCATGCTTCGGCACCGAGACAAGTGGTCGAGGCTTGCACAACACGGGCTGGCATGAACATGGCAAGCAAATGCTTGGAAGAAGAAGTACCCAGCATGAAAGAACTATGAACGCCGAGGGTCGCCCAGAAGGCCCACCTGCATCGTCGGCTTTTGATGCGACTGATGCACGCTACGTGTACTCGTTTAAAACGGCTTCCAAAGCGATGAGCTTCTACCTAAACAGCTACGTAAGTGGTGCAGTGAATTAATCGTCTCCCTTGAAAGAAGCACCTAACCACAGCACTGATCACTGCACGGAGCCCAGGCACGCCGAGACTTGCGGCTGCCGCAGCCTTCTGCAGCTCCAGATCCAGCCTAGGCTCTCGATGATCTAGGTCTAGGTCCAGGTGTCATGGGTGGCTCTTTTGCAGGAAATCTGGCTATCTGCTATACAGATAAGCTCGCGAGGCAGAAGTTTCGGCAGCAAGATCGTGTTGCATGTGCTCTCAGAGATACGAGTACCGAGGCTCTGCAACAACTCCTGGCACATACACCGAGCTGCGAGAGTCCTCCGCATTGAAACCTGGAGCTGGCTCACGCAGCCGGGTGCGATTTCGTCAGTTTTCAGCAAGTCTGCGCAGATACATCAAGTGATTCTTATTCATGCAGGGGCAACAGCCCTGAAATGCCAAGATCAGCTTAACAAGAGCACGGGCCACGGCGGTGCATGCGTTGTGCAAAGATAGATCACAGTGGCAAGTGCTTTTCTTTTTGCAGTCGCGCTGCACACTCAAAAGCGGGTTCAAGTAGAGGAGGCGTGGGTGCCATGCCAGGGCATTGTTCAGATTCATGATGACCTGAGAAATGCGGTAGCATGTGTATTGCCGCAGGCTCGTGAAGCTTCATTTAATGTGCATAAGGTGAGAATCTTGACTGGAGACTCCTTCTATGTACGTCTTCTCTTCTGAGCCTGATAGCCACAGCTAGGACGTCTGCCACGAAGGGGCATGGTTCCAGACATACTTTGCTGTTTTGCCAAGGCTCTGTGCACCAAGCGTCCAGTCGGCAGGCTCCTTGTTGACCGAGCTTTGCAATCAACCGGGCGCGGAAGAGAGTACTGAGGACACCCGAAATCTGGTAGACGACCTTCAGCCGGGAAGCATGCAAGCGGTGTGTAGAAGGCTGGAAACTCATATGTTACACGCAGGCATTTATGTGCGTTGAGAAAGGAAAGTACGATGCCGCAAGTCGGATGCTGGTCGGATGGAGGCAAGGCAACATGTCGTGTTGAGCACAAAGCTCTTGCTCCAATTTTAATCCCTTCTGATGCTACCAGTGCATTCTGTGTCCGAATATCCGAGGGTCCGACCAGCTGCGACGAGTCTTGCTCGTTGCTCCATCGCTCGCCAAACTTCTGGCGGCGATAGACGGCATCGATGTTGATGTGCGACGGAAGCCTGGTGCCCAGCATCTTGTCTTGTCGCAAACATAGCAGATACATGATGCGTCTGTTACGAATGTACGCGACCACGATACGACACGCTCTGTGCTACGAGAGTCACATGCACCTTGGTGTGCTCTAGGTATTGGCATACTAAATCGGTGGATCCAATGACGGACCCCCCACCTGTTGTTTGTTTCTGCACAAGAGCGCATACACTGGGATCATCTCATCTACGAGCCCATGGACCATTCATTCGTCCTGGTTCTTGTAGCATTACTCATAATGCTGATGGCTAAGATTATGAACTGTGATTAGTTCTTGTAGCTGTTGCTACTTGTGGCTGTTACTCCTCTAAATGGATTGTTAAGGGCATCCACAAGCCAGCAGGTTTTCAGACGCTGTGCAGGTTGTGGCCTCTGCAACGGTCCTATCCAAGGACTTTTGCCATCGTGCGTTTTCTATTGTAAGGACCCCCATATACGGCACCCCTAATTTTCGGAAACTCCCATTTGTCAATGCAAGTACTTCAGAGTGACCGTAGATTCCGGTAGATAGCGGTAGCAGCAACCGGCCACCAGAATCTTGATATGGCCTCACGACTTTTCGAGTTGGGCTGGTCCATCGCATGGGTGAAGGAGGTCGGGCAGAAGCTGCATGGGTGAACCACGCGGGCGAAATGTTGCTCAAGGTCGTGCGCAGCCAAACATGGCGGAGCACCCTGTACTGAACAATGTACTGAGCTTTTCTTCGGACATGCGATCGGACTCTGCAGCCTGCATGTTCAAAACCGTGTCCCGCACCTCTGACGCTGCATTACTCGCGACGAGATACTGTGCTACTCCGCAGGCAACACTTCTGGTCCTCATGTTGAGGCATGCTGATCCTTGTGCAGCCCAGCAGCTCCATCGCAGTACACAGCACGGCCAGAGCAGTAAGCGCTTTGCTCTTCCGGAAGAAGGCAAAGGAAGTAAGGGGGCTCACCGTGTTCCTGGGATCGTGTGGGATACTTGACTAATGCACGTTTGCACCATGGGGCCTAAGAGCAGTACCCGTTCCGGTCGCACAGTATCGCTGATGCCTTTCCCTTATGTCGCTTTTTCTTGCGTTTGGGGGTTCCAGGTGTTGGGCTCCAAAGGCATCTCTTTGTACCCAGTCGGCCGAGTGGCAGAGACCAGTCCATCTTCCCCTTTGACGGCAAGGTTTCCTTTGCAAGGCAAGCGAAGGCAATCGGGCTTATGCTCTCACGTGGCTGGGCCTGGGCTCAGCGCTCGCATCGCTCGGACAAGCCTAACAAAGTGTTTTTTGGTCTCGCAATGTTCAGCGCTTTCTCAGTCTTTGCATCAATGCTGCTACACAGATTCGAGAAGCAAATCTTGCAGACCTTGCGCTTTGCGTCTCGGATTTGGATGGTTTCAAACATGTACGGTGCCGGGGCGGCACAATTCAGGCTACAGGAGTGCACGAATTTGCCATTTTCTGAACAGATGGCAAATTCCTGGGCATTCGAACAGAAACGTTCAACTGGCGCGTTCACGATTCCGGACAACAACGGAAACGAGATGAAACGAGGCAATCGAAACCATCCTTCCTGGCCTACTGTGCGTGCACGATTTATCAGCGACCTGCGCTACGCTCAGTGCAGACGATCGTCAACCCCGAAAACCCAGTTTGCAGGTTTGGCTTTGTGCTGAGGTATGCACTTCTGGGATTCGGCCAGGCTTGGTGGCGTCGCGGGACCGGTTCCTGGACGACTGCAAGCGTCTCTGTGAGGCTGCTGGTCGCCGGCTGTTGTTCTGTGATTGACAAATCAGAACCCAATCTCATGCTTGATTGAATTCCGGCAATGGGTTTTGGGCAATTTGGGCGATTTCGAGAAGTTAGACCGTCCGGCCTGAAGTTTCATTACAGTTGTCCGTCGCGGCCGGGAGCGTTCCAGGGATCCTGCTTGCTTTTAGCTTTCACGCTTCTCCGAGACCCAGAACTTGCCGTCTCGGTTACGAAGCCGTCGGCGTGGAAAGATGGTCGGCAAATGCCCGTCTTTTGGACAGGCAGGACAAAATCCAAACCGCAGCAGGGCTCGTTTACACCACTTTACACTGGGAAACTGACCTAGTGGGACATACGACTCCATCTGAGCGTCTGTGACGCAAAGGCCGACACAGCCAGCCGCCAGAAGCTGCCTGGGCTGCTAAAATGCTGGGCAACTCGTTATCCATCCCCAAACCCTCTCTGGCCACGGTGCATGAAGCCCACTGCCGCGAAAGCTCGCTGCGGCTCCTGCACTGTCAAAGCTGTGTCCGGACAGTTGCCCACTGGCTCTGTGCAGTGACGCCAGCCCTGGACAGCAGACGGCAAACGTAGCAGTGAACCTGCCCATGCAAATTCGCCGATATTTGGTTCTTGGGTGCATTCTTGCAGTTCGTGCTCCCAGGCTGGAAACCAATGCTCCTCCTTAGGATTTCGAATGCATGTATGAAACAGCTACATGGCATACCATACCCAATACCATATTTAAATTGTCGAGGCTGAAAACTGATGAAGAAGGAAAGCAACATGAAGACTCCACTTTCAAGGTGGACGAATGCCGATGGCTTATATAGCTTTCAGCAATGCCCTCATCGGCAAAGGACTCCAAGGGCCAAGTTCTACTTGGTAGGACTGACTAGATGAGGGTTTGGAGGCGGTTTTGAACCACTTTTTTTGCTCCGGAAGCTGAGAATAGTCAGCCGATTGGCTCAACTCATCCCGTTTTGCTAGGCAGAGGAGACACGATTCGTACGCTCGGCACCTCTCCCGCCACAGCTCAAAGCAAGCTGCAGCTGAGTAGATAGAATCAAGGACAGGTGGAGTGCCGTTCGACAACATTCGCGGGTTCTCTATGGGCTCTGAGTAGACATCCTCGCACGGGATATTCCCTCAACTGAAATTCGGACAACTGACCGTGAAAGTCGGGGGATCCTTGACGAAGCGCCCAGCATAGGTCCCGGTCAACATAGCCAGCAATGCATAGCCTTGTTCGTTAGGTAAGAGTTGATTCGTGGCTGCACCCTCTCCTGCAAACCGCGTTATTGACTGCGACTTCTAGTGCTGCATGCATTCAAGGGCTTTCACCACTTGTGCAGTTTTACGAGTAGCCTAGCACCAGCTCCAAGTTGAACTTCTGAGGCAGCATGTCCATTCCAACAAGCCATCAGTCTGGAACCGCGAGACTTCTCCAAGGGCACTCGCGCGCGCGAGCTGAAAGCTTTCTCGCAATGGTCTGGGGTCTGGTTTGGAACATGGAGAGTGCGTAGCATGATCGTCAGAAACTTTTCCGAACCGCTGCAGTAGGCTCAGCAACCAGAATCGACAAAAAGTTCATCTTCACAATCAAAGCCACGCGGGCCCAAGCCTTGATTCGGCTCTATGCGGCTATGCTAGCATTGTTACATCATCACTGTTCATACTATACTCTTTTTTAAAGTAGTCTGTCACAGCTGCTGCAGCCCGGTGGCGCTGCACGCGGCTCGTCGCCTCTGCGAAGGCAGCGCTTCCTCGGCCGAAGACCTGGGAGAGCGAAAACTGTGGCAGTCTTGAGGACCCAAGAGTCCAGCCTATTATCCTAGTCCTGCATCACGTCATTTCCGTAGCTGAGGGCATAGAGTCCCTGGAAGAACGCAGCGTACGACAGTTGCACGCTCCGAGGTCTTCAGGCTCTCCAGGCCGAGGCCTCCAGGGTGCTTAAAGCCTTCGGGCATGTTTATGCCATACTATCTTACATTAAATTTATCTTATCCTGTTATGTTTTTTTGAACCCAGGCTCTGCTCCATCATCAGCTGGGAATCGACAGCTAACATGGCTACTGCATGTCAGCAAAGCGTCGCAACCAGTCCACCTCTTTAGTTTCAAGTTATGTTATGTCATGAACTAGCATAATATGTGGATGCTGCTTGTCGTGGTGTAGAGTTGGAATGCACGTTTCACAGGCATCTGCATTCAAGATTGTCCATGCGATTGAGTCGTGTGTGCAAGAGATCAGCCACAACTGAGCGCTTCTATCGAGTCTGATTCTGGGGGGGCTCTTTTTGCGTTTGGGCCTGTGCAGTTGGCAAAGGTCGCCATGACGCCTCCTCTCGCCAACCCCCACGTATTGTGGCATCTTGCTGGTGCCCAAGCTAAGCAAAGTTCAGCGGTCAATGTAGAAGATTGTAGTTCAGGCTCGGACATCGCTGATGCTGGCGGCGCTGGCACCGAACCAAGCGTTAGCAGTAATGGCCACCACGACACGGTAGAAAACGTAGAGCCTGCGATCTTCGATCACGCATCCGAGGCACTGAAATCCCTTAGACCACCGCAAGATGTAGACCCTGCCTCAGGGAGGGCAGCGTCGCTACGGAGAGGCGCATCACCTCTGAGTGACATCACTGTGGATCCCGAATGTTCCCGCACCAACCGGCGCCAAGCAGAAAGAAGCAGCCGCAACTTTTTTGAGAGGGGCTGAAGTGTACATGCCCTCATCCCCGCCTCACCTCGAAACAGGGATTCTGCAGCGATTTCCGGGTGGGAAGGTACTTCTTTCGAAACGGCCGGTGGCAGCTGGTAATGTCGAAGTCTAGTTGGTCGGTCAGAATTTCGAGCACATGAGCATGGAACTATGTGGAACCGTGAGTATCTGAAGGTAAAGACACTGTGAACTGATATCTGATAGGCACAGACATATTGGGCACGTGGGAATGTTATTTCCCGTAGTGTATGCAGTTTACAGACATAAACGTTTTTAAAGTAACAGACCATTCGTATTTGCTTGGATTTTCGCAACTTGGGCTGAGTCGCAGCGGAGCTGCCCACTGCAAGAAGCATTGTGGGCATGCGCCCAAACGCATCCTTCAGGGCATGTTGTTTGGGTGCGGTAAAGCATCTTTTCGACTCGCACACTCGCACTTGGCAGGAACGGTGCAGGCAAAGGTCCAGCTAGAGGCTTTATAAATAGGTTTTATAGGGTTCTGGATGCATCTGCGAGTTTGAGGCCGTGTTGGTGCAGCTACGCAGTCCATGAAGCGCCCAACCAGCGGAGCCAAAACAAAGTCCAAGAGAGTGGAGAGTGTGCTGATGTCCTCGGCCGGTGGATCAGGCTTGGCTTGGCACAAGCATGAGAAAAAAGCCTTTCGGATTGACCTTGAAGGCTGCAAATTCTGCTTCTCTGCTGCATATCAAACAAGTCTCCGTAGAGATTCGCTGCACGCGTTGATGCACCAGCCCTTCGATACCTGGTGTCTGAAGGTGGTGAAGGTGGGGTGGGTGAAAGCTTTCCAACTCCAGTTTCTGCCCGCATCATCGCACTCCCTATCGACACCACCAGTTCGTTGAGCTCCCGCTTGAATGCGATGTGACATATCAGAACTATCAAGCAAGCCTGAAGCTGCAACGTCAGATTTTTTGGGAATCACACGGCCAGATCGCCCTAATTCAGTAGAGGTGATGCCTTGAGTAAGTACCAGTACCCGCACGCCGGGCCTTCGTCAGCACTCTCCGCACCCCTCGCCTTGGACTTTTCCTGCCATGTGGGAGTTTCTGAAAATAGGGGACCCTAATATGGTACCCTAAATAATAGGATCCTTATTACAGGGACCCCAAAATCAGGTACCCCTTATGTTCGGAAACTCCCATCTGCTCACCGAGCTTTGCACAACACGAGCGCAGGTCTCGGCCATCGCCTTTGCCTCCCACTGCAGCTGCTTCCGCGTGAGCTGGTAGAGCAAGTTGATGGAAGCCTTGATAGCTCAGGGGCGCGCTCTTTCGTATGCCGTGGGATCCACAAGTTCTGCCAACATCAGATTTCAGTCAGCTGTTCTTTGACATGCCCCACAGGCGATCTGCTAGATTTCCCAACAAGTTCGAGCACACCCCACACAACCCGGATAAAGCCTTTCAGCATCCATCGTCTCTAAACTCTGTTACATGTCTGACTTGATCGAAGCCTGCGACAACGACTACATGCAATGACAACTCCTGCCCCTCTGCTTTGATATTGGCAGGCTACGGTGGGGCTGATGCTTTTTCGGAGCTGCATCGCTACCAATCACCAACCCAGACACACTGATCAGCACCCCAATGCCGGCAGCGTTTAAAGACCTGCGGACGACTAGGACTGCGCAGAGACTGTTGCATGCAGTCTCTGGCTTTCAGCTGTTAGTCTCTGTAGACGCTGTGTAAGGATTCCAGGACTCATCATAAATGTCGGGAATTCAGGGCGGCTTCACGAGGACGCAGGTTGAGTTGGCCTTGCCAGGATCATGGCCAGCAGAAATCCTCAGCTAGCAGCTGCATCATAAGTGCTGGTGTCGCAAGCTTCTCTGGCCTTCTGCAGACGAAAGGTGGCAATGCTGTTCCGAGTTGAGGATAGTATGAGCGTGGAGGTCACGGAACCCAACCCATAATGATTGTCGCTTTGAAGTGACTCCAAGCATCGTCTCTTGGAGACCACTGCTTGCATTGTGCCTCGGGGGCCAGCGATCTCATGCGAATGGCAGTAGTCAAAGCCAAATGTCTCCAGCCTTGATTGCTTTGGGCGGCGGTCATCGCCGACTTGCGAAAAAGATGAGGCGGAACATGTGCTGGAGTTTGCTTGTTGTAAAGGCTGGCTTGGTAGTGCCGCCCATAGAGTTTGGTTTTGGTAGTCGCATATATACTCCTCTTGTGGCGACACTTTGGCTGGGACATGGGTGCAAGGCGCAATACGCATGGAACAAGTTCTACACATACAAATATACATCAGATACGACCTAGGTCTTGAAACGCTGCTGCCACCTGCACTAAGGTAACAACTTGCGGTGTGTCACTTGAGGATACTTTCTGTGCTGAATTTGGCCGTCGGCAGGCCGGAAAATGGGCTAGCCCGTTTGCAGGAAAACGAGCCAAAGCAAGCTGCGAAGCATTGGTCAATGGAAGCCTTTTTTGAAAGGCCGCAGCTACTGCGCGACCCTTTAGACCCCTTTTGGATGCGATATTTGAGCTCGAAGACTGGAGGATGTATGCGCATGCTATACTGCTATACTGGTAGCAACAAAGTCTTGAGTGGAAACATTGGCAGCAACTAGCGATGAAACACACATGTTCGAACGGTAACAGCTGCCATGCTCTCATCTCCTATACAAGTCTACTCCTTCGAACCTGAGTCTTGCCTGTACGAACGCAGTGTTCAATGTCCGCCTTCGCCTCCTTCAGCCTTGACTGCTCTTGCCATGATCCCCCGCAGTCACCGGTCACCACGCTCTCTTCACCACGCAGACCTTCTTGGGTTTGCCGCTTTCGCGGCCACAGGGGCCGAGGCTTCGCCGGCACTGGAACGCTTTAGACAATTCGTGCTCGGGAAACTTACCTTTGCTTATAGAAGGGAATGGACCAATGGTAATAATAGTAGTTGTAATTGTACCCCACTCCTCACCCTAAACCCTACTACCCTAAAACCCTAAAATTCCTCCATTCCCTAGTAACCAAAAGGTAAGGAAAAAGGCAGAGCAGCCTTCAGCTCGTACCGATCTGCCGAGGGGGTCCCGGAGCCGGGGCAGATCAGACCTCTGATCTCTTGGTGGGAGTTTCCGAAAATTGGGGAGCCTAAAAAAGGTGCCCTAAATAGTAGGATCCTTTTTTTATAAGGACCCCCCAAAAAAAGGTAGCCCTGATTTTCGGAAACTCCCACTTCAGTTCTGGCTCATCTGATGGCGAGTCTCTCGCTCGCGCCCCGCTCCTCCACTCTATTCAGCTCCCAGGTGTGAGACAGTCTGGCGCTGGACTTCCTCGATGCTGTAAGATAACAATCTAAGCATGTCTAAGCTGTGAGACGAGCAATCGAATTTCTGCCCGGAGATGACCATGAAATGGGGTTCTCTACGAAGGCTGACGTCTAAGACGTTTTCACATAGAGTTACTGCTAAATTTTTCGGCCTGCGGGACGGCTTCTGTTGGCCTCTGGTCAAGTTGATATACTTGATTCTTCGAACGTGACTCGTCAAGCATGCATCTAACACTCAAACTACTGATATGGCGACAGTCCCGTGGAAATACCCTTACTCAAGCCCCTTGAAGCACCAATGTCTGGAACAGCTCTTGCAGCTTTCCTGCAGCCATCTGCTTTTGCCTTGGATGCGAAGATTCTGGTACTACCTGTGGAGGAAATTCGGAAGCCGGTGCCAAATGGAACTTGTCCATGGGATACTTTAGCGGTGCCCTTCGCAAGACTCCGACATGTGGACTCGGAACAGCTGATTGTTGCAAGCAGGGGTCGATAAAGCTGCAGCGACGAGTATGGACAGGATGGTCAGCACCTTGGTGAACTGTCCAACTAACAATATCCTCACCTGTCAGATCACCGGCCTGAGAACTTTCAGCTATGCAGCTGAACATGCAACCTCAGCACATGTCTGCCTTGCAGTGCGTACCAACAACAGCAAGGATACTGACACGAACACCATGCTCAGCAAATTTCTGAAAAGTGCAGGCTAAGTGGCAAAAGGTATGAGTGCCAGCGCAACCATCATCGCAAACTCCACGTCCGTGCCGAAAGCAAGCATGTGGCCTTGGAAATTTCAGAACCCCATGGGCCACATGGGCTGCAAGTTGTCGATGAGAAGACCCCCCGCGAGTTCCGCTTGTCTCGCGCCGAATGCTCGTTTTGAGGTTTCTCTCTTTCTGCCGTGCCATCCTCAAGGGTCTCACTATGCAAGAGCACGTAACAGCAGGCCAGAGAATCAGGAGTCAGAGGCAAAGCGCGAACCAAGAACCTCCGTGATTCGTCGAGCCCACCCAAGTGGACAAGAACTGAAGTTTAGGGCTTAGAAACATTGCCGAAGCCCGTGGAGAGCACAGGCAGGGTAACCGCACCAAATGTCAACACGCGAACGCAGGCATCCATACATTGTTCCTCATTGCTTTGGAATCCTGTCGAGAAGCAACAAAGAGGGGCCCAAAGAAGTGTCCATTCATGGCTTGATCAAGTCAAACAATCCCTACAATATGCCTCTACGACTCGCACATCATTGTGAAACGCTGGGGCAGTCGCTGCGCTTTGCCATGCCTCGCTCAGGCACCACCCTGCCTTTGCTCCTGGCTTGCAAAACTGGAGTCGTCTGTGACAGTCTGGACAGCTTCGCGGAAGAAACTTTCGCAGGTACAGCAATCTGTACCCGGCAACCTGGTACGAAGCACAACGACATGCTGCAAGTTCCCGTGCATCGGACTCCTGGCCATATCCCAAAGGAACGAGGCTGCAAGATCATGGTCGAGCATCTGAGCGACCTCCCACGCAGTGTGGCCTTCAAGGCTTCATCATGTCTCAACTTCGTGTCCCAAGTATTCCTGCTTATTCCTGCGCAAAACAGAAGCATGCTGAGCACACATCTCATCAGCCGCGTTCAGTCTGCATCGTGGACTTAGCAACCCTTGCCGTCACCATCCTTAAATCCTTGCCCCACTACAATACCCTACCGTGCTTCCCATGCCGCTGAATCGCAAAACCTGGTCTGGAACAAGGGGTCGAGCCCGACACCCTGAACCCCACAAAAACCGCAACGCCCAAAACGCTTAGCCCCGGAGGCTTCGTGCCCGGGCGCCGCTTGCGTCACACAGGGCCAGTGAAGCTCGCGCATCACAAAGGAGCTGTAGGGCGTCGAGGTGTTCGCCTGACATCGTCTGACTTCTATCTCTAGAACCTATCATGGGACGACCATCACTACCATTGTCGTCAATCCTCAAGCACCACTAATACCCTGATAACACGCTGGACCTGCGATCATACCAGGACGTGCATATTAAGTCTTTTTTAATAGGGTCCATTGTTACACGCAGGGTCACTGGAGAGTATCACAGGGTACGGGTACTACATCGTAGTCTACTGTATGGTACTCGGTTACTAGGTATTTACAAGTTCGTGGGGACTGTCATCCATGGTTCTCATATCTTTCCACCAGCCATACCTACCTGCGACTTGATATGACTTTCTAGGGGCTACATCGTACTATCCCAGATTAGCTACTGTACAAGACGTACAAGCGTGTTCTGTCGCAAAGGAAACCTGTGCTGGGCGACGCTCGGCCGTAAACTCACTCTTGTTTCATGCTTCGGCGTTTTTCCGGGCTGAAGCTGGAGTTCGCATGGGCCGGCAGACTGAGACATGCCGGGCATAGGCTTCACCTGAGGTGGTCCGACCACGACTTTCGGTACAAGAAGAGCAGTAGTTTGTACCTAAAAATGGATATAGACATTGCTTCATGCTCAATCTTTGGGTGGCCATGGGCTACCCGGCTCGGGAAAGCCGCATGAAAAAAAACTTCTGTGAAGTCATATGGGCGCGGCAGGCTCCCCTGCATGCAGCCACGATGTGACTCCAAAAAACCCTTTGGAGGAATCCTGTGAGGAAAAGAACCCCAACTGCTTGGAGGATCATGGGACTTAGTAAGTAAGGTTAAAAGTACCTTAATTGGGGTTACAAGTATAGTTACCCTACTTATAACCCTAGTTACTAAGTCCCATGATCCTTTAAGTAGACCCTATGATAGAAGCCCTGTAGATCCCTTTAAAGCAGCCCTTTAAGGAACCCTAGTTACTAAGTCCCATGATCCTTTAAGTGCCCTCTGCTTCCAGTCGGGTGGGGTACCATAGGCGGCAGCATGGAGTGGGGTGCAGCCATCGAGGCGCTGCCGGTCGATGTCCGCTCCGGCCTGTTTTAACTTCATATCATCCCACCAGACTGAGTGGCTTAGTAACTAGGGTCACTATTAAAGTAACTATACTACTTATAACTACTTATAACCCCAATTAAGGTGCATGTTTGAGCAACAAAGTCAGGGTCCTCTACGGAAGTCTATCTGCCGTGCTGAGTTCAAGAGCTCTTCAAGCGTTCTCTGAGTGTTTCGTGGCTCCCGGTCGTGTGGCAGCTTCGAGCGACCAGATGAAGTGAACTTATTGACGTCTTGTGAATGGCAAAAGGATCACGCATGACAATATGAAGTGCGCACTTTCAAACCTCCCTGGCCTCCAAAAGACGCGCCAAGATCCTGGGAGCTAGCTCTGCCGCCAACTACCCTGTCAATATTGAAGACCTGTAAGTTCTAGATTCTAGGCTGGCGTACGATCCTGGGCTCCCGATGTTTCAATCAATCTCAACTCTACGAGTAGTCAAAAACATGATGCCTCGTTCTGCAGGTAAGACACAGGCAGGTCTTTCTCTATCAAATGCTTCAGTTGAGTTTTCACACAGCTCCCCTTCCAAGCACCCATGCACTTGGCACAGCGCAACGCTTGTCCTGGCTTGGTCTGCTACATGGGTGAGAGGTTCGAGACCTGAAACTCGTGAGTCATCGGAGCGCTCAACCTTTCAAAGGCTCCAAACCTGCAACGCCTACCCGAAAGCGGACACCTGCTCTCAAGATCCCAGAACGGGCGCCGCCGTTTGCACGGTACTACCAGCAGTTGGAGGGTGCTCAAAACAAGCTCCCCACGGGCTTCCAAAGCGAGTAGCTTGCTGAAGCCACAGCGTGCTCCCAAGTGAAGGGCTGTAGATCCGTCCTTGTCGCACAGGAGGT